ATTCAAAATGGATCAAAGACCTAAATATAAAACCAAAAACTATAAAAATCATAGAAGAAAAAATAGGATCAACACTACAGGCCCTACTACACCACATTAACAGCATGCAAACCATAACTAATAACACACAAACTCCAGAAGATAAGCTAGATAACTGAGATCTTCTAAAAAATTAAACACTTATGCTCATCAAAAGATTTCACCAGAGGAGTAAAAAGAGTTACCTATAGACGGAAAAAATTTTTGGCTCCAACAAATCTGACAAAGGTCTATCTCTAAAATCTACGGGAAAATTCAACACCTCTACAACAAAAAGACAAATAATCCAATTTAAAAATGGACAATAGAAATGAACAGGCACTTCACCAAAGAAGACATTTGTCATGGATTGAATTGTGTCCCCCAAAAAATGTGTGTAGCAACTTGGCTAGATCATGATTCCTAGTATTGTATGATTGTGTTATCTGATGTGATTTCCTTATGTGCTGTAAACTCTAGAACTATGATGAGATTATATGTGATCTCCTTACGTGTTGTAAATTCTATCACTGTGATGAGGTTATACTGATGAGGCTGACAAGATTAGACAGTGTCTTAATGCAATTTCTTTTGAGATATAAAAGAGAGAAGCGAGCAGAGACACATAGGAACCTCATACCGCCAAGAAAGCAGTGCTGGCAGCAGAGTGCGTCCTTTGGACCTGAGGTTCCTGTGCAGAGAAGCTCCCAGACCAAACGAAGACTGATGACATGGACTTTCCTCTGGAGCCGACAAAGAAAGTAGTCCCCTGGAGGTGATGCCCTGGATTTGGACTTGTAGCCTACTGGACTGTGAGAGAATAAACTTCTCTTTGTAAAGCCATCCACTTGTGGTATTTCTGTTAGAGCAGCACTAGATGACAGAGACAACATTCAAGCAGCTAACAGACACATGAGGAAATGCTTGCGATCACTAGCCATTAGAGAAATGCAAATCAAAACCACAATGAGATACCATCTCACCCCAGCATTACTGGCACAAATCAAAAAAACAGATAACAAATGTTGGAGAGGCTACAGGGAGATTGGAACTCTTATGCACTACTGGTGGGAAGGCAAAATGGTATAACCATTTTGGAAAATGATACAGTGCTTCCTTAGAAAGCTAGAACTAGAAATACCATATGATCCAGCAATCCCACTCCTAGGAATATATCCTAGAGAAATAAGAGTCGTCACACGAATAGACATATGCACACCTATGTTCACTGCAGCATTGTTCACAACAGCAAAAAGATGGAAACCACCAAGATGCCCATCAACAGATGAACGGATAAACAAACTACGCTACATACACACAATGGAGTATTATGCAACAATAAAGAACAATGACGAATCTGTGAAGCATCTCACAACATGGATGAATCTGGAAGTCAATTACAAAAGGACAAATATTGTATGAGACCACTACTACAAAAGTTCATGAAAAGGTTTACACACACAAAGAAACAATCTCTGATGGTTATGAGGGAGGGGAGGGGTGGAGAGGGAAAAATACTAAGACAGTAGGTAAGTGGTAACTTTGGTGAAGGCTAAGACAGTAGACAATACTGGGGAAGCCAGCACAACTTTTCCAAGGCAAGGTCATGGAAGCTCCATAGACACATCCAAACTCCCTGATCAATTGCTGGGCTAAGGGCTGTGGGGACCATAGTCTCAGGGAACATCTAGCTCAACTGGCCTAACACAGTTTATAAAAAAAATGTTCTACATCCTATTTTGGTGAGTAACGTCTGGGGTCTTAGAAGCTTATGAGTGACCATATTAGATACTCCACTGGTCTTACCCCTTCAGGAGCAAGGGAGAATGAAGAAAACTAAAGATTACAAGGGAAAGATTAGTCCAAAGGACTAATGGACCACAACTACCACGGCCTCCACCAGACTGAGTCCAGTACAACTAGATGGTGCCCGGGTTACCACCACCGACTGCTCTGACCGGGATCACAATAAACGGTCCCAGACAGAGCTGGAGAAAAATGTAGAACAAAATTCTAACTCACAAAAAAAGACCAGAGTTACTGGCCTGACAGAGACTGCAGAAACCCCAAGAGTATGGCCCCCAGATACCCTTTTAGCTCAGTAATGAAGTCACTGCTGACATTCACCCTTCAGCCAAAGATCAGACAGCCTCATAAAACGAGACTAAAGGGGCACAACAGTCCAGGGGTAAGGACTAGAAGGTAGGAAGGGACAGGAAAGCTGGTAATAGGGAACCCAAGGTCGAGAAGAGAAAGTGTTGACATGTCATGGGGTTGTTAACCAATGTCATGAAACCATATGTATTAACTGTTTAATGAGAAGTTAATTTGTTCTGTAAAATCTTCATCTAAAGTACAATTTAAAAAAAAAAAAATGGCAATAACACTACCTATCTTAATCACCTTGCAAGTTTCTTCTAAGGATCACAAAAGAATACACAGGCAATCCCCAGGTTATGCATGAGATCCGTTCCTGTGTCTTTAAGTCAAATTTGTAGGTAAGTCGGAACAGATGCATACGGTTCTTATTTAGCCTTAGTGTAAGAAATGGCCTCGACAGCCTTCTCAATGATGTAAAAATTGCATGTGCAGCAAAGGGAAGATGATTATGATGAAGAATTTATTTTGAGTAGGGGTTGGTTCAATGGTTTGAAAGTGAGAGCAAATTTACATAACATTAAAGGGCAAGTATGAGTTGACTAAGTCTGACGATTGGAACCGGGGGACTTACTGTATATGAAACAACTTTTTGCCTGTAGAATGCTTTCTACTTATCAACTTCTTACTAATGACTTGAGAAAAATAAGCTATATATAAAAAGCTAAATTTCATTGCTTGTTTATATATCATGAAACAATATATTTAGCAATGAATGTTAACGAATTCTATCCTAATTATCACCATCTCAATAATAAGCTTATCCAAAATATTTTTATTAGGACCTAAGGAAATTATCCATAAAAAGATGTTTACTTGTGTTTTATTGACTACACAAAGGCATTTGACTGTGTGGATCATAAAACATTATGGATAACACTGCAAAGAATGGAAATTCCAGAACACTTCATTGTGCTCATGAGGAACCTGTACACAGACCAAGAGGCAGTCGTTCAAACAGAACAAGGGGTTACTGCATGGTTTAAAATCAGGAAAGGTATGTGCCAGAGTTGTATCCTTTCACCATACTTATTCAACCTGTATGCTGAGCAAACAATCTGAGAAGCTGGACTGTATGAAGAAGAATGCAGCATCAAGACTGGAGAAAGATTCGTTAATAAACCTGTGATATGCAGTTGACACAACTGTGCTTGCTGAAACTGAAGAGGACTTGAAGCACTTACTGATGAAGATCAAAGACTACAGCCTTCCGTGGATTGCCCCTCAACACAGAAACAAAAATCCTCACAATTGCACCAATAAGCAACATCATGATAAATGGGGAGAAGACTGAAGTTGTCAAGGATTTCATCTTACTTGGATCCACAATCAACACCCACAAAAGCAGCAGTCAAGAAATCAAAAGATGTATTGCACTGGACAAAGATACTGCAAAAGACCTCTTTAAAGTGTTAAAAAGCAAAGATGTCACTTTGAGGACTAAGGTGCGCCTGATTCAAGCCATGGTATTCTCAATTCCCTCATATGCACGCGAAAGCTGGACAACGAATAAGGAAGACTAAAGAAGAAATGACGCCTCTGAATTACAGTGTTGATGAAGAACACTGAATATATACTATGGACTGCCAGAAGAACGAACGAATCTATCTTGAAAGAGGTACAGCCAGAATGCTCATTAGAAGCAAGGAATGCGAGACTTTGTCTCACGTACTTTGGGCATGTTATCAGGAAGGATCAGCCCCTGGAGAAGGACATCATGCTTGGTAAAATAGAGGGTCTGCAAAAGAGAGGAAGACCCTCAACGAGATGGACTGACACAGTGGCTGCACCAATAAGCTCCAGCATAACAACAACTGTGAGGATGGCACAGAACCGGACAGTGTTTCGCTCTATTCTACAAGGATCACTATGGGTCAGAACCGACTGGACAGCACCTAACAACAACAACATGGAAATTATCTTTGTAAACAGACTATCTGCAAGCAATCTGTAAGCATAGTAATATGTATGATGGCAATGAAAATTACCAACATATAAAATAAGGTCTTAAATTTGACTGTCTTACTGATAAGGTTAACAATTACAGGATGTGACCTTACTATTTTTTAACAACTTGCTAACCCACTGCCATCGAGTCTATCCTGAGACATAGCAACCCTAATCTCTAAAATTAAGTGATTTTACCAGCATTTACAGGATGCCCAGAATATGCTAGGTTGCTACTTTGAACATTTACTCAATATGATTTCTGATGTCAAATTCAATTATGTTTTTGTAAGTATTAAATACTGAGCATCTGTGTGCACAGTGCTATGCAACATACAGTGCAGAAGACAAAGATGAGTAGGATACTATCTCTGCTTTCAAGAAGCTTACAGGTACCACTCACATGCAGCACATACACATAAACTATATGCTGATTACTACTTATAAACATTTCTATACTTTTTTTACAACTTGCTTTAGGTTAGCTGCCTTTAGTTGACATATAAAATGGGTATCAAGAGAAAAAAAAATCCATTAAAATTTAAGGAAGCTGTGACTCTTCCGCTGACCTACTTAAAAAGTCTATCTAAAGGTCTCCTTTTAATACAAATAGTAAAAATATATATCCTGCAACTAAATAATTTTATGTTGGTGGGTTGGTGCAATATTAAAAAACTATATATAAAGAAACAATATTGTTATGTTCTTAAGTCCCTCTTTATACAAAATACTATTATTTATATGTTAAAAAAGCAGCCTTGTTCATGTGGTTACAAAAACTCATGAAAATATAAAAGCATCACATTTGTGGGGCAGAGAAGACTATCTAAATTTAACATTTAAAATTACTTATAAAATAAAATACCAATTCTTACATATAAACATTATATATTTTATTTTCACAAAAAGATTTATAAATAGTTCACTTGAGTACGTTTCTCACCAGTGAAATCACAATTCACATTATACTTATGTCCAAAGATAGTCCTTTTCTATATTTCATTTTTTAAAAGCAAAACAAAACACTTTATTTTCAGTAGAAAAAACAATTTACAAATGAAAGTCAAAGACAATAATTTCAGTAAAAATGGAAATCAACCACCATATCTTTTCTTGAGCTCTTCGACAGACTTGTCCTTCAATCCTGATTTGTCTATGTGATTGAACAATACGTGTACAACTAAAAATGAAAAAAAAAAAATCATTCTTCATTTTAATTTCCATTTTTAAACTAAAGAAAACAGGTAAATTAAAGGGAGTAATCTATATAAAATAAAAACTTTTCACATTTTAAAGCAATAATCATTATAATTATTTATAAATTCTAATTCAGATATTCAAACAGCCCACACTAGAATAGAATATTACACAGCAATCCAATGATGTTTCTTACCAGAATATTTTGCTTTAAAAGTATAAAATTTCTCCCACACCTCAGTGGCAGATTAAATTTAACTCATTCTACCATACTACTTCAAAATTTTTGCCCTAATTATATAACAAATGTACTTTTATTTAGTATTTTTATTTCAATTAACTATTTTTAACTGACTTTAAACTTCAATCATTTATTTTAAAACTGTAATCACTACTGTAAACTTAGAATTAGCAACAGTACATACACAAGCCCATGTTTGATGGTCTAGCTATATATATTTTTATGATATGTAGTAAAATAAAATATATAATTTTTAAAAGTTATGAAAAGATTTGTCTAGGAATAACGTAAAATCATCTTTCATACCACTGAAGGGTCTACATTAAACACTTTCGAAAACACTTATAATTCATAGATTTTTTGACATTAAAACTACCTAAGAGTTTTTAATAATAATGGCTATAATAAAAGATAACAGCCTAATACTTACTGACTGTTTAGTTACATGCCAGCAATCATTCTAAGTGCTTTCCATGTTTAACTTACCAGAGAGTGGTGACTCAATGGTAGGCCAATATGAAGAGCCAACTCATACATATTCTTTGAGTACACCTTCAACTTACCACATTATAGTGGCCAAAAAGTCATTCACTCAACATATGTATACTGACAGCTTATGCACTAAGCACTGTACTGGCTCTGGCGATACACTAGTGAATAAGGTGGGCAAAATCCGTGCTCTCATGGAGCCTGCATTCTATTAGGGTGAGAAAAATAACAGATAAACAAATACATGAACACTGTTGGCTAGTTAAGTGCCCTGATAACAGTAAAGCAACGTAAGGAAACAGAGGGTGATGGGAGAAAAGGCAGGCAGTTATTTTAACTAGGGGTGGCAAGGAGAGGTGGCTGAAGTGATGACAGGCAGAAACGGAATGAAGTGAGGCAGCAATGAGGAAAGACATTCTAGGCTAAGGGAAGAGCCAGATGCAAAGCCCCTGAGGCCAAAATAGTTGAGCAGTTTGGCATACTAAAAATATAAGAACAGTGTGGAGGGGTAGAGTGATCCAGAAAAGTGGTAGAAAAATTCAGAATAATACTAGGAAGTAGTAGTATTTTTCAGGGATTTCAAGGAAGGTTTTTAGTTAACTAAAGATAACGCAAAAACTTCTTTAGGCTTAAAGGCTATTTAAAGAATCTCTATAATTATATGTCCACGTCCCTAAGTACAATGTAAAGAATATTTTTCTTAATGATTCAGAAACATTCACTCCATCACTCTTACAGTCTAATGATTTTTCTCTTCTTCCTGTATAGCCCGAAACGCTGAATAACTGAAGTTTCTGCATAGTTTGGTTTTTTTACTTAAATTATGGTTTCCCAAGACTGACTCTCTAAGCCAAACACTGAGGTATGAAGATAAACAAAAGACATAATTCTTCAGGGTCCTGCCACTCTTTTCGCCTGACCCTACAAGTCAGCCACATTCACTGCCTTTAATATGTTGAGCTCAATTTGCTCCTTCCTGCCTTGCGACTCATTCCCTCGGTCTAAAACTCTCTCCCCAACCCTTCCTCTAAGTGATTTCTGCTCTTCTTTGAAGTTTCGATTTCAATCAGGTTAGCTCAAGGAAGTTAACTATGATCTGTCAGAATGAGTTAGACCTCCCCAATCATCTAAGTGACTTGTTCTTTTTTGAGATTTCTATTTCCATCAGACTAACTCAAGGAAGTTAACAATGATCTCTCAGAATGAGTAAGACCTTCCCGACAACCCTGCCCTATTACATACTCCTGCAGCAAGGACTCGTTCCACGTTCCAACTCAATTATCACGCTACTGCTGCATTTTCAAGCAGAAAAGCGCAAGCTATGGAGTCAGACTGCCCAAGTTCAAATCCTGGGTCTGATTTCCTACCTATGTGACCTTGGGCAAGTTTCTTAACTTCTCTGTACCTCAGTTTCCTCATTTATAAAACAAGGAGAATAATAATAGTACCTATACCTCATAATGTTATTGTCAGGATTAAAAAAACTTTATTTTAATTAGAACACCTTTACATAGTAAATATTCACTGTTTGCTACCGTTTATTGAATGAATAAAGAATATGCAAGAATAAAGAGATGTGGAAAAGCTTTCTGTTGGAGACTGAATTATGTTCCCCAAAGAGATATGCTAAAGTCCTAACCCCTGGCACCTGTGAGCATGACCTTACTTGGAAACAGGGACTTTGAAGATGTTGTAAGTTAACATGAGGTCATACTGCATTAGGGTGAGTCCTAATCCAGTATGAACGGTGTCCTTATAAAAGAGCAGAAGAACCACAGAGATAACACAGAGGGAAGATGGCCATGTGAAGACAGAGGCAGAGACCTGGAGTGATGCAAGTACAAGCCAAGGAATGCCACGGATCGCCAGCAATCACCAGAAGTTAGGAGAGAAACATGGCACAGATTCTCCCTAGAGCCCTCAGAAGGAATCAACACTCACACCCTGATTTCAGACTCCTAGCCTCCGTAACTGTGAGACAATACATCTCTCTCCTCATAAGCCACCTAGTTTGTGGCACTTTGTTACAGCAGCCCTAGGAAACTAACACACTTCCTTTCCTGGAACTTACTTTTTCTTTCAGGTTCTGACATAAACATCACTGCCATATCAAACCTTTTCAGTTCAGAAAGTCTCTGTAAGATTTCAAAGATGAGTGATGGGTTCTCTTTCCTGAAATAATACAAATATAAATGATCAATTAAAGGTAGCTTATTTAATTCTCTTTACCATCATATTTCTAATTATGCATAAATAAGGTGTTCATCTGTAACCTTTTTTTCCCTAGAGACTGCCTATATTCTAAGTTCCCAAATAAAGAGATTTATCAAGTCAACTGAAGAAATTATAATATTCTTAAATGAGGGCTTAGCAAAGAAATTATTTATCTGCTATTATACTTGTCACTTTCACGTCCCACCTTTCTCTAGAAAGAAGACTAAAAAGCCCTTTTTCCTCCCACTTAACCATTTCCCTTTTTATTGTTTGCACTTGACATCTCTTTACAACTTCTGCAACAATAAAATTTACTAGAAAGCTAATTTTGCTATATACATACAAATACTTATCAAACAGAATGAACTTCTCAAATCACTGGAAATAGCACAGCATTACGATATGAGAGTATAACTAAAAAATTTCAACTTACTCAATATAAAAGTCATGCAGAATTTTAATGATTTGATTGAATACATCTGGATCTAGATTTTTCTGAAACAACTTAGGATACACGGATGGTTCAATTTGCTTGGGAGAAATATAAAGAGATAGAAAATTAAATTATGGTAACATTCACGTATCACAAATTATACAATAATTGGCTAGGTAAAAACAGTAAAGAATTATTATTATGCAACAACATTAGTACTTCATGAATAATAGTGGAGTCACATTAAAATGCAAGCAGGATAAAAGAATGAAAGCAAGATAATCACTCTGTTCAAGCCAGACGAAAATCTAATGAACAGAAGAGATGTACCATCAGCTCCCAAGGAGCAATAAAAATAACCAAAGAGTTAAAAATATATACAGAGAGAGAATTACATCAGATAAGGTCTTTGGAGGTAATTATACACTGCATAATTATAAGGGTTTGTGACTATCGTTACACTGGAAAAAGACAACGCTAATCCATCATTTGCTAAATTTCATATGCTGTGATTCTTTTTCTTAGAGCAAATAAAGCTCATATACAGGAGAATATTGAAAGTACCGCTTAGCACACAGAAGATAATATATTTTAGCTTCCTTTCCCTATTTCAAGGGATGAAGGACTAAATTAAGCTTAAGTTATGATATATGAAATGAGACTAAATGATTTTAGACAACAGAATTTGACACAGAACATATTTCTAAATGAGATCACTGAGGTTCCCTGGTTGCAAACTGAAAAAGTGCTCTGGCTGGATAATGTGTTCGGCAAGGAATAAAAGCATCTTCTACAATCATACAAAAGCAAATATATAACTATTACTATACCAAAACCAAAGTCACAGCTACCAAGTCGGTTCCGATTCATAGTAGTCTATAGGACAGAGTAAAACTGCCCCAAAGGTTTCCAAGGCTGTAAATCTTATGGAAGCAGACTGCCACATCTTTCTCCCACTATTATCATATAGGACAAAAAAAGTTCTCTGACTTTTTACTTATAACTACTAATACACTCACTCTTACCTTTAAATACTGATACAGCATATCTGGAGAACTTTTCAGTTGTCTGAAATCAGATTCGAGCTGGAATGAGTTTCCAGGCACTGAAGGAAGAACAATTGTAATTAACTGAGCGGGTGTTTTTTCTACCTCTGTGGAAATCTTCTCACTGAAAGACTGAGACACATCTTGTTTCAAACTGCCTTGAGGTCTGAAAAGATTTCAGAGGCATTAGTCAAACAATTAGAAAATAACCACAAATAGTCAAAGTTCATATATGGAAACAATATAAATTTTAAAACTTTTCTGACTTTATTCATGTTGTATTATCTATTTTATCTATTTACAGTCTACAAGTAGTAAACTCTTTCAGCTAATATAGGTATCTATATATAGATACATATTTTTGCAAAACAGATTATGCCTTTGCAAATTTTCACATGCTGGCTATTTAATGACCATCCTCATCTGCTGGGCAACAGTTCGGCCATCTGTTGGGCACACCATTTCTATATACTGCATTACTAAATCACATATACTCACAACTCAGCCTTTCGGAAATCCAAATTCACGATTTCAAGGAAGACGTTCTAAGGAAGAAATGCTTCCTTCCGCCTTAAAAAAGAGCTGCCTATTGAGCATTTTCCCACAATCCACACTCTCACTTTAGTTAGAATGACTACTGAAGTTCAAAAAAAAAAGAAAACTTTTAATTAATGTTATTTAATTGCTAGGTACAGTTAAAAGGTTTGTTGAGTGACGATGCAAGAATATATGAATGGGGAGGAACAACTTAGAAAAGGAGGGTGAGGATGGTTGCACAACTTGAAGAATGCGATCAGTGTCACTGAGGTGTACATGTAGAAATGGAATCCGTGTTTATGTTCTGCTGTGTGTTTTCTCAACAACAAAAATAAATTTAAAAAAGACTATATGAATAAAGTTTCAACACCCAAAAATAAACCTAATTAGCCTATATATGCTCATTATTAAGGAAACATATGTGACTACTTTTTTAAAAATTCCAAATAAATATTAATGGCTGGAATAACTGTAAGGCCTAAATTCCACCTTTTTATGAAACTTCCTTTTAAAAATTAAAATTATTTTGTTGAATTAAAAAGTGAAACATATGTACTCAAGTCCTAGAAAAGAAAATGAATGAAATCAATTTGTTCAAGACACTTATCTCTAAATTCCCCGTTATGGTAAAGAAATAGTGACATGGGGCTGGTCATCCTTAAGCAAAATCTCTCTCACAGTAAATATGAATAAAAAAGAGAAACCAGAACGTGAAGTTGGGCAGTTCAAAAAATAGTGGTGATGAGTACAAACCATTAAGTCTTATCAGTAATATCAATTTTCTAGTAGACTCATCACCATTCTAGATGATTATCAAGTAAGAGTAGTTCTACTCACGGCAGGGCTGAAGTATTACTGATTTCTTCTATTTTCAAGACTTTTGCTCTTGGAATATCACTTGTAGGCAAAAGGTCATCTTGGGTTGAATTCTTCTTACTTGCAGTGCCTGTGGTTGCTATCCCATCTGCTGAATTAGCGGGATTCCTCTCTGGAGCAGCAGCAGTAGTGATATCTGGCACATCAATTGTCTGTATCAGGTTACCGGTTTCTTCAATAATAACCTTCTTCAGTGGCTTCTAAAACAGAAGTCAATTCTTTAAATTAACATATTAAAGGGTTCCTATTTTAGGGTCACAAGTTAAAAGATTCCAGTGTTCTCATAGTCACTATCCCAGTTATAAGTAAATTCAATTTGGTGGACAGACTTAGGTGTCACACTCTGAGAATACCAAGAATAAAAAGCCATGCATAGCATCTACCCTCAAAAGTCTAAACAGGAAGAGAGACATGTATATATGAATAATTAGAAAGCAATGGGACATATACTATAAAAGCATATGTAAAGTAAATTTTGTGAAAACACAGAATGTTCAGAGAGCACAGAGGAGGGAAGATAAACATCAGCATTGGTGAAGCCTTCACAGAAAACGCACAAAACAATGGCAACGTGGAAGGGTAAGGCATGGTCAGTGGAAAAGGGAGAAGTCCAGTGGGGCTAGTGCAAGGGGAAGAGTGGTGAGAGGCAAAGCCTGAAAGGCTGTTTGAAGGGATAGCTTACAAAGGGACTTGTGTGTCATGTCAAGAAGTGTGCATTTTATCCTAAAGACAATAAAGCAGGGAAAAAAAAAGACCAAGAACAGCAAAATGGCGGGCCAACTGGAGGTAAGCAGAACAAGCCCAAGAGATAACCTGCATTGTGTATGACACAGACTAACATTAAAACTCTGAACATGTAGCAGCTGGATAAAATCAGCCCAGGATTAAAGATTTATCAAATACTATTCACAAGGTTGTTAACAGTTTTTGAAAAGTTTTGCTATAATTTTTGAGAAACCATAATGGGTTTTCAATTCGATTAAAAAAATAGCATTCACTATTTCAATCATTGGAGCCCTAGTGGTCAGTGGTTGAGAACCTGGCTGCTTACCAAAAGGCTGGCAGTTTGAATCCACCAGCCGCTCCTTGGAAACCCTATGGGGCAGTTCTACTCTGTCCTATAGGGTCCCTATGAGTCAGAATCAACTTGACGGCAACGGGTTTATTTCAATCAAATGTCAAATACTTTCGATTTCTTCATAAATTTATATACAGACTCTTTAATTTTTAATAAAATATAACAATGTCTTTCACTCTATCATTATACCACATAAACAGAAATATACTAAGGGAGCTACTGTTTCACCAGAGGTATTGAAAAAGAAACAGCTAAAGAAAACCTCCTTCCAAAACCTGCAAAATATTGATAATAATTCCAGTTACATGATAAAGAATGGGAATTCATTTTTTCTGCTTCTGTATATTTTTGAAGTTTAAATTTAAAAAAGAGAAAAACTTTCTTCAATATACTCAGTGTTCATTCCAACTGTACAGTTGAATTATACATCAGAAAGTTGTATATATAGAAACTTTTGACATATATACTAAACTCAATGTCAAAATCAGATATTCTATTAACACAGCTAAGATTTAACAGCAAAAACTGAGAATTACTGGACAAATGAACATAAACTATTTGCAAATTTGTTACCAGAGTCCTTTTAGCAGTTCTGTTCTAAATTACAATCATGTTAAAGCCTTTGCTTTGGTGATAACTATCATCAGCAATGTTTTCTATCAAGATACCGACTAAGAATGAACACGTTAGGGTTTTACCTAAGACTATAAATTCTGACAGGCAGTAGTTATTGAACTAAAATCAAAGTGGCCCCAGTTAAAAGTAAATCCTTTATTGACAACAGATGTGTAAACATGATCCTAATTAATGAACTTCTTAAGACATGGTCTCTGTTAAGTGTAGACCTGTGGGTACTAAGTGGCTGAGGACCACTGACAATGGTTGGATGGGATGGGGAGGTGGGGTGGGAGGGTGCTGGCAAAACACAGAAGACAGCATTATACAAAGGGTTTAAGAAAATATAAAAGCTTCAATTCACTCTTTCTCAAAAATTAAGACTCAGAAGCATAAAATTTTATTTAGCTCTATATTATAAGCATATGAAAATAATGAACACAGAAAGAGAGGACCCAAGTAAAAAGGTGAAATTTTGACATGGGGAGACAGAAAAATGAAAATAAAATAAAAGCATAGACAAACTTACCAGAAAAAACTTTCATTTACTACCACTCTAACCAGGAATCCCAGACCCCAACTGACTTACATCTCTGCTCTCCTGTCTCCACCCAATCACGCTCTCTAGAGGAGGTAGGTTTGTTCCCAGGCTGTCAGCCCTTGAAGGACAGACAACAGCCTCTCACTTGAGTAAATTAACCCTAGTCCTCTCTCCCCACTTCCTGTGGCCTCACTTTTTCACCTGACCACACTCTCTAGATGGCCGCTTGCAAGCTTTTAAGACCCCAGATGCCACTCACCAAAGTAGGATGCAGAACATTTTCTTAATAAGCTTTGTTATGCCAATGTCTTCTGAAAGCACGGTCCCCAGACCCCTACCCCTGCTACTCTGTCCCTCAAAGTGTTTGACTGTATTCAGGAAACTTCTTAGCTTTGGTTTAGTCTAGTTGTGCTGACTTCCCCTGTAGTGAGTGCTGTCCTTCCCTTCACCTAAGATAATTCTTATCTACTATCTAGTTAGTAAATAACCCTCATCCTCCTCCCACCCTCATAACCATCAAACAATGTTTTCTTCTGTGATTAAACATTTCTTGAGTTCTTATAATAGTGGTCTTACACAATATTTGTCCTTCTGTAACTGACTAAATTCACTCAGCATAATGCCCTCCAGATTCCTCCATGTTATGTTTCAGGGCTTCATCGTTGTTCTTTATCGTTGCGTAGTATTCCCATTGTGTGGATATACATTCGTACGTTTATGGGAACCTAGGCTGTTTCCATCTTTTTGCTATTGTGAACAGTGCTGCAATGAACATGGGTGTGCATATATCTATTCGTGTGACGGCTCTTATTTCTCTAGGATATATTCCAAGGAGCAGGACGGCTGGATTGTATGGTAACTTCTATTTCTAGCTTTTTAAGGAAGCGCCAAATCGATTTAGCGCTTAAGAATTAAGAACTCTTGTGAGAAAGAATTAATTTTTGTGAGGAAGTCTTACATAGATGTAAAAGTTTAAATCACATCTAACTGAACATTTAGTTAATCATCTTTACTGAAAAGAACAGAATACTAGCAAATAAATGTAATGTATGAAAATTAATATAACGTATGAAAGCAACTAGATTTATGCCTGGCACATGAAACTAGTATTGTTCAAAAAAAATCCAAGAATAAGGTCACAAAAAGAACATTGGAAAAAGTATTAAATTAGACCAGAAAACGTAATCATGGTTCTTTATGTCACCTACCTTAAGTATGACTTGGCAAAACACAAACTTTCTCTTGCCTCATTTTCTTCCTTTATAAAAGGAGAATAAAAATACCTGCCCTGACTTCCCTGTAAAATTGTTTTTTTCTACCAAAGCATCATCCATGCATAACAGTTACTTCTAGGGGGCAGGGAGAAGACCATGATCAGTGAGGGACACACAAGAAGATTTTGGGGGGCTGACGCCATTCTTTAAATCTATGTCTTAAGTACTTTTCTATATTTTTTATTTCATTATTTATATATGAAATAACTGTAAATGTTAAAAATTATAATAGAGTCACATCATACATATATTTGACTTAAATGAACTCAACTGTAAAGGTTCAATAAAACCAAACTGCTAAATTCGTGCCAGGTACTCTTTTTGTTCCAATACTGCAGAATAAAACTGGCTTTGTTGGACTTATGAGAAACAGTAGGATATACCCAAAACAATGCACACTGTATCTTTTTAACAGTAATTTTACCTACACTAGATTTCTGCCTTAAGTGCTAATTTTAGATCTAACTCCTCACAAGACGCAAGGCTATTATAATACAAATTCAGCCTCCAAAAAGAACGGAAGTAAAAATATTTAATTACTATAAAATAGAAAAATTTCTGATTCCTTTGTATGTAAAAATATTTAAATTTATAATGTTAAACTGAAATAGTCACTTAAAAAGTTACCCCAGAAATCTTAACAGCTGAATTTTCCCGTTCTATTATGTCCTAGGCAGTATTTTTAAAGATTCTAAAAATGGCCTCAGCAATTCACTGGTTTGTTTCTAAATCTTATCAATACAACACTGATATTTCAATGGCAAAGAAAAAACGAAAGAAAAGTGCAATACTTACAGTTGATCCAAGATGAGGGGGATTTTCAATGGGTTTTATCACATTTTGCCGTTGTGTAGAATCAAGAAAGACTTCATCCCAGTGTCCTTTCTCAATTAACTCCTTCAAAATAAATTTGGAATCATGACTATCAACAGATTCTCAAAGTAATTATGTAACAAACAAATGTGTTTATATTTCAGAAAATAAAGCAACATTTCAGTCAAAAGAACACATTACCTTTTTAATTTTGGAAAGTTCAGTTATTGCTTGCTTATTTCCAGGTTCCAGAAGTAAAACAGTTTCAAAATCTAAAGTGAATTTTTTAAAAATATAATCAAGTAGTGAAAATACTTTATGGAATTCAAGATATGATACACTTAGGTTAGTAACTAATATTTATCTCAAGAAGTTTTACTCAGGATGCTAGGCAACAGGTGAGCAATAAAAAAAAGTGAACATTTGCTAAGTGCTATACTAGTTGCTTTATATGAAATCTACTGTAATCCTCACACAACCCCACTATGCATATGATACAACGAAGGTCTAGAGGTTATGTAACTTATCAAAGCTCACACTGGTAACCATGACACAGTAACTCATCAAATGTAAGACAAAATCTAACAGAACAGAAAATTAGCTCATACAGGGTGCAGACAGTAGGCAGGGATAAGTGCACCCCGATGTTCACACCAGAAATCTATGAGTTATTCACCTCCACATCTCCCCTCTCCATCATCCCATTATCCAGTAGCGTGCTGGTAAATGTTTAATAACTGGTTCTCAGGGAGAAAAAAAGCCATAGTTTGTCGTGCTTCCTGATTTCCATTGTGTAAATACTTCTACTATGGCTGATTTCAAGCTACCAATATGACATCATCGAATATAGAGTTGGGAAGATATTTGCACAAATGGCTCTTTCAACTTGGTACAAACCAACTCCTGGCACCACTGCCTATGTCTCTAAAACGTATCTTAAATTTACCTGCTTCTCTCCATCTTTACTATAATCACTCTGGTTCAAATCACATCACCTCTCATCTAGTTACTGCAGTCGCATTCTAACTGGTCCCGCACACCCAGACCTCGCTACTCCTAACGCCTCCAAAACCATTCTTCACACTGCAGTCAAGGTGACCATCAACAAACATAAATCAAACAGTGACACTCTCCTACGTTAAAAAAAAAATTGCTTTCCACTACCCTTACAGCACAGCAGTTAAGAACTCGGCTGCTCCTAGGGGGCAGTGACCTGAAGATAATGGTGACAGAATAATTTGGAAAAGGATAGTGAGAATAGCAACACAACTGGAAGAATGTAATCAATGTCACTGAAGTGTACATGTAGACATTTTTGAAATAGTGTATCTCTAGCTATGTGTATTTTCACCAAAAAAAAAAAGGTCCTCCAAGGTCGAGAAGGGAGAGTATTGACGTGTCACGGGGCTGTTAACCAATGTCATAAAACAATATGTGTACTGACTGTTTAGTGAGAAACTATTTGTTCTGTAAACCTTCATCTAAAGTACAAAAAAAACTTTAGAAAGGAAAAAAAAAAAAGAACTTGGCTGTTAACCTAAAGGCTGGCAATTCGAATCCACCAGCTGCTCCTTGAAAACCCTATGGGGCAGTTCTACTCTCTTAGGACCGCTATGAGTCAGAATTGACTTGATGGCAATGGGTTTTGGTACCCTTAAAATAAGGAGCTCTGGTGGCACAATGGTTAAGTGCTTGGCTGCTAACTAAAAAGGTTGGCAGTTCAAACCCACCCCAGAGGCTGTGCAGGAGAAAGATCTGGTGATCTGCTCCCATAAAGACTGCAGCCTAGTAAATACTATGGGGCAGTTCTCTATTCTACAGGCTTGCTCTGAGTCAAAATCAACTCGCTGGCAACTAACAACAACAACTCTTAGAAAACTATCCAAACTCCTTAACACTGTGTGGTGAACATTTGTTGTTTTGTACTGCTCAACATTCCTTCCTCTCCTTCTTCTAGGAACAAAACCTCTAATTCCTTTGGGAAACTGCCTTTCCCCCCCCAGGTCTATGTAGTTCTGCCAATCACAGTACTCTACCCCAGCCACAGGGTGGACATATGATGCAGGTCTGACCAGTCAAGAGTCTTCCATTCTCTGGCCACAGCTGACTGACTCAAAAAAGGGGAACATGACCATCTCAAGCCAAACTAACCAGAGACTCTTCCCCAGATTTTATATAAGGAAAATGGCACGCTTTCATCTTCCTTGGATCACCAAGCCTTAAGAATACTATCTCAAAGCTGCCAATAACAATGTCCCCCACTACATGAGGAGCCTGAGAGAATAACACTGACAAACTAACAGACGTCAAGATGAAAAATAAGGAATCAGAAATCTGGCTGAGTTCTGGGATCCAGGTTTCCTAAGGACTACTCTACAACTAGCTCTCCATGATTTGGTTAAGTGAATTAATAAATTCCTCTTGGTTTAATCTACCTTGAGTGTGTTTCCATCGTCCTAACCAGAACTGGTTCCCTAATCACACACAAAACCAATAAAACAGTTGCCATCGAGTCAACTCTGACTGATGGTGGCCCCCTGTGCGTCAGAATAGAACTGTGCTCCACAGGGTTTTTAATGGCTGATTTTTAGGAAGTAGATCACCAGGTCTTTCTTTCAAGGTGCCTCTGAGTGGACATGAACCTCAACTTTTCAGTTAGCAGCTGAGCATGTTAGCCATCTGCACCACCCAGGGACTCCTATGTAACCAATAAGAGCTACAAAACTTGGCCCCCGCCTACTTCTCAATCCTCTTCTCTTAGACTCCCAGTCTTATTCATTATGATCCAGCCATAGTGGCTTTCTTTTAGCTCTTTAAACATGCTATACTGGGTTGAACAGTGTCGCCCCCAAATTTATGCCCACCTGGAACCTCATAACGAGGCCTTACTTGGAAATAGCATTTTGCAGATGTAATCAGATAAAGTGAACCTGGATTAGGGTGGCCCCTAAATCCAATGACCAGCGTCCTTACGGAGCCCTGGAGGCGCAGTGGTTAAGAGCTTGGCTGCTAACCAAAAGGTCAGCAGTTTGAATCCACCAGTCGCTCCTTTGAAACCCTACGGGGCAGCTCTGCTCTGTCTTACAGGGTCACTATGAGTCAGAATTGACTCAACAGCAGTGGATTTGGTTTCCTGGTTTGGTTGGTGTCCTTATAAGACCACGTGAAGACAGAGAGAAAGGAAGGAAGGAAGGCCATGTGATGAAGGAGGCAGAGACTGAAGTGATGCTGCCACAAGTCAAGGAATGCCAAAGAATTGCCCACAACCACCAGAAGCTAGAAAAAGGCAAAGGATTCCACCCCTAGAGTCTTGAGAGAAAGCATGGCCCTGCCTACACCTTGATTTTGACTTCTTGCCTCCAGAACTGTGAGAGAATAAACTTCTGTTGTTTTAAGCCACCCAGTTTATGGTAATTTGTTATAGCAGCCCTAAAAAACTCATACACATGCCAAGCTTTTTTTTTTTTTTTTAACCTCAGGTTCTTCTCAATCCTGAGATTAAATATCATCCCTTCAGAGAGCCCTTTCTCTCTCAATCTAAAATAGGAGATCTTATCCCAACACGAATGCGGGCAGTACAGAAAAAAAATTTGAAGAAGTAATGGCCAGAAATTTTTCAAAATTTGATAAAAACTCTAAACGCACAGAATCACAAGCCCCCCCACCAAAAAAAAAAATAATCACAAAGAAAATGACATCAAGGCACATCGTAACCAAACTGCTGAAATATCGGTGAGAAAATCTTAAAAATAAACAACAACAAAAAAAGACATAAAATACAGGAGAAAAAAATTAGAATGCTCACTACTTTTGCATTAGAAACAATTACAGCCAGAAGAAAATGGAACATCTTAAAAGCACTGTAAGAAAAAAGATGTCAATCTAGAATTCTGTATTTAATGAAAATATCCTTCAACAGTGAAAGCAAAATAAAGATATTCTCAGACATACAGAAGTTGAGAGAATTTGTCACCACAGACCTGCACTATAGGGAACATTAAAGGACTTCAGATTGAAAGAAAATGATACCAAGTGATAACTCAGATCTACATGAAGGAATGAAAATCCCCAGAAGTGGTAAACAGATGGGTAATGAAAGATTTCTCTTCTCATTTTAAAAATTTCTTTAAAATATAATTAACCTCTAAAGCAAAAATAACAACAATGTATTATATGGGCTTTATAACACATGTAGAAATAAAACGTATGAAAATAGCACCAACAACAGGTAGGGGATCATGGAAAAACAAGGAACAAATAAATAGAATCAAAAACGAAAAGGAAGGGACATCACTATAGATCTTACATTATCTTCTATCTAGCTGCTGATGCCCTTTCTTTTCCTTTCACTCTTATCTTTTTATTACTTTTTCTTTTCTTTATTTTGTTTTTTCTCTTCTTACCTATAATTCAAAGTTTTCATTAATACAGATTGGCAGTTACCCAGATTGTACTGTGTGCTATTAAAGTAAAGGATAATGAGATCCACTATGGAGGCTGCATTCCTTCAAATCTGCAAACCTACTCATAATCTGAACTATAGAGAGAAAACGTAATTCTCTAAGTCCTGCATCCTTGAACCACGGGAAAGCAATGCAAATCTCTGCTTCTATAACTTGGGGGTCCTATCAGGATGAGTGAGTGCCAACTGTAATACAAATAGTCTTACCTTGTTTGGCTTCACTTAACTTTCCCAAAAACGTTCTTGCAGTTCCTCTTCTGGCAAAAGCTTTAGAATATGAGCCATCTAATAAAATAGCTTGTGTGCAGTCTTTTTCAGCTTCTTCATATCTATTGAACATAAAATTACCAAATAGAAAAAATGAAGCTTACAGAAAAACTTCATATAAACTGAGTTTCTAATTTAAAATACATGCACATAATTTCAATTACCAACTTCCAAATCTTTGTTTGAGGGGAAGGACTATTTTTCATTTTTCATTCTCACCAAAACTGAGAATTATCCAGTAAAAAGGGGTGAAGTTCCAGATTAAGAGAAAGTCAGGAAAGAGTCTACTGGAAGGATAGAATTAATGATGATAGAACAGGAGTAGAACAGATAAAAGAATATCACAGCTGGCAGCCTAGCTCCCTTTCAACCCTCAATTTGCCAAACACTAAGTTAACAATTCTAACTCACATTAATTTTCTAATAAAACTTCCTTAACCTTTTCCCATAGTATACATCACCTAAGGGGATAAAAAAAGTGTTGACTGAGAGTCGATTCCAATTCATAGCAACCCTACAGGACAGAGCAGAAATGTCCCATAGGGTTTCCAAGGCTGAAATCTTTACAGAAGCAGACTGCGACATCTTTCCCCTGCAGAGTGGCCGGTGGGTTTGAACTGCCAACCTTTGGCTTAGCAGCCAAGCACTTCACCAACTGCACTACCAGGGCTCGTTAAGGAAAAACCACCCACAGAAAATTTAGGACTCCATATGTATGTGACAGCAGTCTCTGGGTGGCACAAATGGTTAAGCGCTGGACTACGAACTGAAAGGTTGGTGGTTCAAATCTACCCAGAGGTGTCTCAGAAGTAAGGCCTGGCAATCTGCTTCTGGAAGGTCACAGCCTTGAAAACCCTACGGAGCAGTTCTACTCTGCACACATGGGGTTGCCATGAGTCAAAATCAACTCAACGGCAACTAAAAACATGTATGTGATAGCATACCCTCTGACACTTTTCATAAATTCTACTCAGTCATGTAGTCAGCAATCATTCAGGCAGACTGGATACTGCTGTATATCAAAGAGCTAAGGAGAAGAGCTATAACTAAAACAACTTGACACCTTCTTGTATTAAAATGTCCTTAATGAATTATGATTAATTTATTAGAAGTGATAATGGTATTGTATGTATGAAAATATGCTTTTCTCTGAAGACTGAAAGTCACAATGTCTATAATTTGCTTTAAAACAATTCAGGGGAAAAAAGCGGAAACAAACGTGACCAAAAAAGTAAGTCTTATTAAAACAACATGACAGATACATGGGCTTTATTACCGTATTTTTATGCAAATAACGTGCGCCTTCTACGTTTGTTAGCCAACCGCACCCTCCCCCACCAGGTATTTCTGTAAGCATGCTAATCTTTCTACAGCAACATGTAAAAAAAAGAAATTGGCATAGTGTTGCTTATGAAAATACCCCACGGGGGGAGGGCTGAGGTGGCAAACAAACATAGAAGGCCTGCATTATTTGTGTAAAAATACAGTATATGATTTTAAAGAAAGCCAGAAAAATTTCATAATAAAAGATTAAAATACATATATATCCTGTGATTACTTAGCTCCTCAGTGCCAAAATGAACACCCTCCTATCCTCAAAACAAGATCTCATATGACATTTCTATTAAGCTTAATCATCCTTGAATTTTTAATTCATTCTTTGGTTAGAGAATATTGTGTGTATGCACGTACACGTGTACGTGTGTGTGTGTGTGTGTGTGTGTGTGTGTGTTCATTTCCCTTCCAACATATTTTTCTACTTGGCTGATTATGTAATTCTCCAATTCAAAGTACTTGCATGGCCCTCACCATATTCAGGATAAAGTCAAACTCCTTTGCAAAAACAAAGTCAGGGTTGTGCCTGACTTTATAGCCACATATCTGCCACTGATCCATGCTTAACAGCCATAATACAGACCACAGGCACCTTCCTGGAGTACCATGAACTTTCCCACTCCCAGGCCTTTAAACTTCCGCTGGAACACTCAACTGGTTTTTTCACCTAACTCATACTACTCCTTTAGATCTCAGTTCAGTCTGAACTCCTTAAAGAATCCTTCCATGAATTTCCCAACCTGGACCCAGTCTGCATCAATGTTCTCTCCTCCCTGTACTCCACAGCATTATCACAGCATATTTTCATAATTATTAGTTTCCTTTTCTGTCTCTCCCTCTAAACTTCAAGTTTCTTAAAAACAACTGTATACCTAATATTTGTATGCTTAATACCTGCCATGGTGCCTAGTATACCACCTGATACATTTTAGAGTCAATAAATGTTTGCTGAATATGTAAATCAGAAAACTTCCAAGCATGCTGATTCAAAAAAAATTTAGAAGATAAATGTTTAGGAAGCCATTTTAACTATATACTGAAAAACTGTGTTCTACTGTACATTTGGAAACCCTGCTAGCACAGTGGTTAAGAGATACGGCTGCTAACCAAAAGGCTGGCAGTTCGAATCCACCAGACGCTCCTTAGAAACCCTATGAGGCAGTTTTACCCTGCCTATAGGGTCGCTATGAGTCGGAATCGACTCTACAGTAACAGGTTTGGTATACCACATCTGAAGATAATCCAATAATTACTGAAAACCTGAAGTTTCCAAACAGGTAAAAGATGATTATTCTTTGACAATGGACTCAGTCAAAGTTCTTTAAAATCATTACATATCCTTTATGCACACTTCAAGTATAAAATGGATTTAGAAAAATCCAATCTGTAAACACTATTTAGACGACAGAACAAAAACAACTAAAAGAAATAATAGACAGTTATTACAAAAAACAGTAAATCCTCACCTAGCTCCTTAGCCCCTAAACCTGTTTTCCTTCTAACTTACAGTTAGGTCCTTGCCCTAGTTCTACTCCATCTCTAATGTCAATCCCATCCGTAATCATCAAATGAACCCTCTGCTAAATTCCATCTTACTCTGGTTCCAGTACTAACAACCAGATTCTACTTTATTCTTGTGACCTACCCTCAACCTTGTTTCCCAGATCTAGTATCTAATAATATTGGGTCTCTTTCTTGTCATCCTATACCTAAATCCATGCCTTACTCTATCCAAGAATGGGACCCAGATTTGTCCTTGACCAAGTCTCTTCAGATGCCCCAAACTTCTGGCCCCATTTCTGATATCCTACCACCTGTTCGGATTCTCTTAAGCTAACCATCTACCACCCTGTATTCCCACAATTTGCCAGCTCACAGACATTCCATTATTGTAACTCAAGTGCCTCTTGCTGATCTCCCTGATGTCAACTACCACCTAGACTATTACGTCTAAAAACCATGTTCTCTAGATATTGTTTGGCCTAACTGAGTTTCTTCTTAATGTCTACTGCTACCCTACACTGATAGATAAGATTATACTGCTAATTAGCACCTTTGCCTCCACCAATCAAATTCTTTAGCCCTAATTTACACACGGTTTGTAGGAACTCAAGCTACAGTCTGGTTACCTAAACTAAGACCTTATTTAAGTTTGAAAAGTTGCTCCTTTTTATGTTCCTCATCTAGCTTGTAATAAAACCCAACTCTCATGTGGTAAACTTCTGTTATTAAATGGCAATCTAACAAACATATTAGAAAAAGATACAAGAGTCATACAGCTCTTTCTATTTAAAATATGCTCTCCTGAATAATGCACTATAATACACTCTATTAACTTGATTATCAACTATAGCAATAAAACTGACACAATAAATTAAAGCATTCATAAATGTAGATGTAGTCTCTTACCCATTAGAAAGTACTATTCTTAGCATTAATCAAGCCTAAGAATTCAGGCCTTACAATTTTAAATCAACGCACAAATCCTGAACAAGCAAAAATCAAAATTTTCATAAGCTAGCAAGAGATGCAATGATCTTTAATCAATAAAATATCTCTAGCTGTACCTTTAGTTTAAACGAGGATAAGCATACAAACAAAATTTACTTCTATGACAGGAATTCTTAACCTGGGGTCCCTCAGGGGATCTGAAAATTTGAAAGGGGGAAAAAAACCTCTTTTCACTAGCTTTTGAAAGAAATTTAGCTTTTCTATCATAAATGTAGGCAACAAGCCACAGTATTAAAAGAATTTATCTACAACTTTGTCACAATAAAAATCAGACATTTTCACATCGCACTGTAATTGCTGCAGGTAACTTGAAATACTGCTTATGCTCATTACTATTCTGAAAGTACATTAGTAATTTAACCTGCTGCTTGTGAGCATGCACTTGCAGTAGCCCTGTGTACAACGCTCCTGCAATACAGCTGGCCAATTACGGGGTAACTCTGCCCCTAGCAGCCATTCAGACACAAAAGAGTGAAGTCACGTGCTATCACACTAGAAACCTTGTCATCTATGCTGCTTTCAGGTATTCCCTATCCACATTTGTCTGTTCATTAATATGTGGAAGGAGATGAGTCAAAGATTACCCCACAGGCTAATGTCCTTATTCAAGTCTTTACATTAATATGCCTTTAAATTTTAATTTTAATTTGCCTGTATTTTAAATGTATTTTCTTATTTTGTAGTATATTAATAAAAAAGGATACAAACTAATATTTTATAAATTTTAACATGTCTTTGTAATCCCAGATGTATAATTATGCATACAAAAACATAATTCTGAGTCACAGGCTTCACCACGCTGCCCTATCAATTAGCAACAGTTTTTTTTTTTTATTTTTTATTCTGGCACTAGTATGTAAGGTATTACTACAAGATACAAAAAAAACGGTAAGGCACAGTTTCTGCCATCAGACATTAGCATACTAATTGTCCAACTTGGAGCCCCTGAAAGCATCCAGGAACAGCTAGTTAGTATCACAAGATCAAGTTTTACTCATACATTTAATCAATCAGCAGTTTCAACAATAACAGTTCCCTTTTGTTAAATATATATATAAAACACTTCCAGACAAGACTCTGCCCAAAGGGTTTGAAGGTTAAAATTAACTCTACATAAAACAATTGAGAAGTGTTAAATTATGTGATGCCAGGCTATTAAAAGTAGGAAAATATTAATAACAAGAGCTAACATTACCAATTATGTACTATGTGCCCGCCCACACACACACAACCTCATTTACTTTAATCCTCACAAGTAAATAAATTTTAACGTACTGTTTAGCCAATATGCCAATTTCTGGTAAATTTCATTTTGATCCAAAAAAGCATTAAAATGTAACCAATACATACTTCTGAATCTTCAAATAGGCCATGGCTCTGTTAGCTGGAAGAAGGGCATTAGTGCCATCTGCTGCTATCCCTCGAGTATAGCATTCAATTGCTCTTTCATATTTCCCCTCTTTGAAAAATCCATTCCCCTGTCATTTCAGAGAGAAATGTGGAGAAGAATCAAAAATATGCAAAAAATTAATTCAAATCTTAAGAAACACTACAATATGCATCAACACTATATTGACAATAAAAGTATATTTTAATTGTTGAAAATCTAGTTCACGAGATATATTTTATAATCTGTTAGTGTGGATTAACCGTTTTCTTTAATGGTATTACTCCTTCCAGTACTAAAAAATGGAAAATGTACACTGCACTTCATAGCATCAACCATTATTCTACTAATTAAATATTATACAAAGCTTAAATTTAACAACTCATTTTAATACACACAGGTGTATTAAATTTAATACATTTAGAGCCTTCCGAATGAACCAACAGATTCCTAATGAATACTTATGGAATGATCATTTAAATAATTTAATTTAATAATTTTTAATTTATCCTGTGTAGATAAATATTATTCTAAGTGTTCAGTTTTTTAGAAGCTGTATAAAAGAAATTTTAAAATTCAAATAATTTTTGTGAAATAACACACTACCAGACTTGCACAGCCTACTATTTGGTAATATTAATGTATATAAACACACGATAAATTAAACTGTATTGGAACGTGCATATTAGATTTCATTGTAACATGGCGCATTTATAATCAGAGTCAGATATATCACAATCAATAATCATTCCATAAGTATTCATTAGGAATCTGTGGGTTCATTTGGAAGACTATAAATGTATTAAATTGAATCTCCTCAATTAAGAATTTGTAAGGTAATTTCGATCAGAAATGTTTCAGTATGAATTAACAAAAACAGTGAATTAAAAATAAGAATGAACTGTAAGTTATTTTGTTAATTTTACAGCTAGCTACATGTAAATGTATGATAAAACAATCAAAAGCAGTTTGTTCCCTAACCTTAAATATGTTTCTATAATTTTAAAAATTTACGTATAAGTCATCAATTACTCAAATTTTGAATTAGTAGGCTCCAGAGGTTTTAGTGTATTTAACATCCAGTTCTTACATAGCTGGAGACTCAAGAATTTTAATATATTAATAGGGAAAGCGGAAACCTAACTAACATACATGAAACTAAGAGTAAACACTCAGCAAAACATATATATGCTGGAACTCTGTGAATTACCAGATCTTTCTCTGAAATGGCCTGCTGCTTATGCTGTTGTTCTTCAATTTGTTTTTCCTCTCCTTCAGTTGACTTAATTATTGTGTCAGCTTCCTTTGGATATGAGTTTTCTATGGATGTTAAAGCCTAGGAAACACAGCAGTAATCTTAGATAAAACAAGTAATGCAAGACGCATACCAACTTGATTTTAAAATACTAAATTACTCAAATACACTAGAATTTCTGCCATTATTTCAAATTAATAATTTTCTACTCTAATTCAAAGTCTTATTATTTATTAACATAAAAAACAAAAAAAGCATATAACAAATTTAATGTACTTCTTACTTAAATTAAAATAAATAGCATCCACTAAAGGTAGTTATTCAGTTATTTATTCAACAAATATTTACTGAATTACTACATAGGCCAGGCACTTTCTAGAAGCTGTTTCCAAACAAACAGGTAAGTAAAACCACATCACTAAATTTTTCAAAGTTAATACTCATAGCCTTTATTTGATCTAAGATGAAATGCAAAAATCTGCAAGATAATATAGTTCACAATTATAATCAAGTTGATATATTTACCAACAGATTTTACATGCAATAAGTAATAATATTTAAAAGCAGATTTCCCCCAATCACTGCCACTTTTTTCTCAATGTTTCAACAGATAGCAAAACAATTATAACCCTGATTCAAAGACAAAGTAAAAAGAACATACAACTGCCCGGTATTATGTGAAGCTAACTTTACGTTCAAGTAATAACTATGTTCTCACTGTTAAAAAAATTATTTTTGCTAAGACATAAACTATAAAGTGGAGCAACTTTATAATTACAAAATCAAAGAAATATGAAGAAGTTTAGCACAGAATCAGTGCACAAGCCAAAAAAGAAAGAAATCAATGCAATAAAGGAAAAAAAAAAATTTCATCTGGGAAAAAGTAAAGCAGCAGTAGTTCTAAAGGTCTCAAACAACTTAAGATAATGATCAATTAATGATCTTTACCATTACACTACCTCTAGCTTGCAAATTCATTTAATAAAACTCTACAGTATGAAAAATTAAAATCAGAAAATCTCTATATTAATATATAGTAATCTACAGTACAAAGTCTACTTAAAAAGCTTTATTTTGTTACATAAAGGTCACAAATAATGTGTTTATTTAAATTACTATAGTTTACCTGATTAATTTTCCTGAGTTCATTTGTTGCTTCAAAGTTATTTGGTTCCAATTCTAATACTTTTTCATAATCTGAGTAAGTCAGAAGATAAAGAATCTTTGAAAGATATTTGATATTAAAAAACATATACAAAACAATAATAATTTGCTACATGTGACAGACAGACAACTGTCCTACAGCAAAATGAAGGAGGATCTAAGAAATACTAACATTAGGCTACTGGACTTTCTCCGTTCTCCCTACTATAGAATCCTGACAAAATTCTGACAGAATCCTACAGTAAACCTTTTCCCACCAGCCCCAGGAATAATACTTGCTATTGTTTAAGTTGTACAGGATAAAACCAAGAAGCAACAGAATCCTTTATCAGCTTTATTCTGATAAACCTGTTTTATGGAAAAATAAAAGGCTTAGAATTTACAAATAAATAAAAACATGTGATAAGAGCTTTACATGTTATTACCTCTAGCCTCACAATAGCCAACAAGGTGTTTTAAACCCTACTTTACAGATGAGAAATTGAAAATCAGAGAAGAAATATAACCTTCCTCTGGTCATGGCTAGTATATGGTGAAATGAGAATTTCAACCAAGGTCTGACTGGCGGCAAATAACGCATTCTTGCCAAAACAACAAGATGCCTTTTAAATTGCAGAAATGAGCTTTGTTCAAATACAGAAAGCTCTCTAAAGGTAGCAACTGTGCTTACCTACTATATTTTGTATAAAAAAACAAAAAACCAAACCCATTGCCCTCAAGTCGATTCCAACTCATCGTGTCTGATAAATTAAACTGCTGGGAGAGTTTTTCAGATAACGACGACCTTGAAAACATTAATACCTTTTTTGGCATCCTCTAATTTTTGCAAAGCAAATCGAGCAGCCCCTCGTCTGGCATAAGCCTTTGTATAACTTCTATTCAAGGCAATTGCTAAATTACAATCGGACTCAGCAACAGCAAATCTGCAATTTAAAAAAATTAAGTTAACAAAAATCATTCATTAAACCGAAACTTCAAAATCTGTTTCTGAAACCCCTGATAATTCTCAATTGAAGGCATGTATGTCTTCCATCTCCCTTTATTGAGTTAGGCCCATTAAAAGCAATAATTTGTACTTGGGGGTAGGGGTGTGTAAGACCTAACATTCTGTTGTATTCTAAAAAAACCAAACCAGTTTCTGTCGAGTCGATTCCAACTCATGGTGACCCCATGTGTTTTAGAGTAGAACTCAATTCTTATTTCTAGATCAAAGTCCTCTTTACTCCTTTTTTATTATCACTAATAGGCTTTATTTTTTTACAGCAGTTTAGAGAAAAATTGAGCAGAGTACAGAGAGTTGACACATACCACCCCCGAAAACAGTTTCCCCTATCACCATTTTGCAGTACCGTGGAACATTTGTTACAACTGATGAACCAATATTGATACATTAATGCTAACTACAGTAAATAGTTTATATTAGGATTCACTCTGTATTGTACAGTTCTATGGGTTTTGACAAATGCATAATGTCATGTGTCCACCATTACAGTTTCATATAGCAGTACCATACAGAATAGTTTCACTGCCCTAAAAACTCCCTGGACTCTAGCTATTCATCCCTCCCGCTTTCCCCCCACCTCTGGCTACCAGTGATCTTTTTACTCTCTATATAGTCTTGCCTTTTCCAGAACACCATTTCATTCAAATCATTAGCTTTTCAGGCTGGCTTCTTTCGCTTAGCAACATGCATTTAAGGTTCCTCCATGTTTTTTCATGGCTGGACAGCTCATTTCTTTTTATTGCTAAATAATACTCCGTTTTATGCATATACCAAAGCTTGTTTATCCATTCACCTACTGCAAGGACATCTTGGTTACTTCCAGTTTTTGGCAATTATGAATAAAGCTACTATAAACATTCATGAGCAGCTTTTTGTGTGGACGTAAGTTTTCAACTTATTCGGGTAAATACCTAGGAGTGTGAATGCTGGGCTGTACGGGAAGCCTATGTTTAGCTTTCTCAGAAACTTCCATACCGTCTTCCAAACTGCCTGTACCTTCATTTCGCATTCCCGCCAGCAACAAATGAGTTTCTGTTGCTCCCTATTCTCACCAGTATTTGGTGTTGTTAGTATCTGGAATTTTAGTGATTCTAATAGGTGTGCAATGATACTTCACGGTTGTTTTAATTTGGAATTCCCTAAGGATATATATTATGTTGTACGTCTTCTCATATGCTTTTCTGTCATCTGTAAATTCTTTGCATGGTGTCTGTGCAGATCTTTTGCCCATTTTTTAATTGGGTTGTTTTCTTATTGTTGAGTTTTAAGGGTTCTTTCTATATTTTGCAAGGAGCCCTGGTGGCGCACTGGTTAAGCACTTGGCTGCTAACCGAAAGGTCAGCAATTTGAACCCTCCAGCTGCTCTATGGGAGAAAGATGTGGCAGTCTGCTTCTGTAAAGATTACAGCCTTGGAAATCCTAGGGGCAGTTCTACCCTTTCCTATAGGGTCACTATGAGTCGGAATCAACTCGATGGCAATGGGTTTGGATTTTGTATACTTTGAATACAAATCCTTTGTCTGATTTGTATTTTCCATGTATTTTCTCCCAGTCTGTGGCTTGTCATTTCATTCTCTTCACAATGTCTTTTGCAGGGCAGAAATTTTAAATTTTAAAGAAATTCAAATTATCTATTTTTTCCTTTTTGAATCATGTATCTAGAAAGTCACTGCCAAATCCAAGGTCACCTAGATTTTCTCCTGTGTTATCTTCTACAGGTTTTATAGTTTTGTATTTTATATTTAGGTCTCTGATCCATTTTGAGTTAATTTTTGTGAAAGATTTAACATCTGAGTGTAGATTCATTTTTTTGCATGTGTATGTTCAGCTATTCAAGCACCATCTGTTGAAAAGACTACCCTTTCTTCTCTGTCAAAGACCAACTGAACATATTCTGTGGGTCTATTGCTGGGTTCTCTATTCCATTCCATTTTTTTTCTAACTGAAATTTTTACTGAGGTAATTTAGATTCACAGACAGTTTAAAAAATAACAGATATCATATACACTTAACCCAATTTTCCCAAATGGTAACATTTTGCAAAACTATAGTGTTATATCACAACCAAGGTATTGACATTAATACCAACCACCAATCTTATTAAAATTTCCCCAGTTTTTCTAGTATGCATGTGCATACATGTGCATGTTTGCGTGTTCAGTTCTGTACGATTTTATCTCATGTGTAGGTTCATGTATTCACCGCAGGATACAGGAAGGAAGATTAAAGTAGTTTCAATAATAATAGTAATGTTCTAGTTCTTAAGTTTATGTGGGTTTATTTAAAATTATGCTTCATAACTTGCATAAGACACACACATAATAGATATCAAATATTACAAAATGCAACATTCCTCTGGCTTGTGAGGATATGAATGCCATAAATTTCAAAGATCTAACAATATGCAATTTAGATAATAAAAATTATTCAATATAACATGTATATATGTATATTACATATATCTAATTTATATTTCCAAATAATAATTAAAACATGTAGGAATGTTTTCCTTGATGGTATTGGTCTTTTTAAAAATTCTTTTGATATCTTAATAGGTCAGTCCTTGCTTTTAATAAGATCATAACATGTTTATGTTGACATTAAATATGTAGTTAAAGTGTCAGTATGACTGAAAGATAAACCAACAGTGAAGTGTATTTTAAGTTTACCATAATGAAAGTTCTCTAGGTGAAATAGTGGATAAATGGTTTATCAAAGAAATGGGGGAATGTTAATTCCTGAAAATGTTTATCAAACTTTTTTACTCTTTTGTGAATTAGGTAAAGAACATCATTACTCAGTTTTTAGAGGAGGAACATCTCAGTAAAGTGAGCTATAGGAGCACAACTCAATAAAAGTGAGTGAGCTTAAGAATTTACAGTGGAAAAGAAAAAGTAATATATTTTTAATCTTTCCTATACATTTTACCATGCAAGTTTTTTTGTTTTTGTCTTTTTTTTTAAATCAGTCGCTGAGTACACACAAAACATTCACACACATTATGGAAATGTCTTACTTTCTCATTCGGAAGTATGCTGAAGCTCTATTTGTTGGTAACACAGGATTATATGGGTCAGCATCCATGCCTTTGGTGTAGCAATCAACTGCTTCATCATATTTCCCTTGTTTGAAGTACCTATTACCCTGAAAAAGCATATGACTCAGCTATATAGCGGCACTAAATTCCAGAGTTATTACTCTTTCAATATTATTCCTCTCTTTCTAGCTCATTAACTATGCAATCAAGGATAACAGGAAAGAAAAGAGAATTCAGCCAAATAATCTTTTTACAAGTGCTGAAATTCACTATATACAGTCAATGTATTGGCATAAACTGAGTGACCTGGCAGAAAAATGAGTAAAATACCTAGCATTACACTTTTTATTGACAATGTTAACCCACAAATATTCAACAATATAAAGGCATCAAGAGGTTTAATCTGAAAAAACTTGCACCTTTTTGTAAAGCAAGACAGCTGGTTTTGTAATAATGAGGCATCCCTTAGGGAGCTGACTGTTCCAGAAAGTAACCAAAGATGGCCTGTGATATGGAGGATTGAAGTATAATATTCATGCCAAGAATCTTGTACTGATTTCAAGTTAGGTCAGTCTACTACTGTGCCTAGAGCAACTCCAGATATAGTCCAAGCACTTTACATATACAAGTGAGTTCATTTACATTGAGTTCATTTAATACAACAACCCACTGAGATGCAGTACTATTATTAATCTCATTTGACAGCTAAGACAACTGAGGCACTTGCCCAAAGTCACAGGATTTCGACCAAGTAGTCTGGTTCCAGAGCACGTGGAACCACTATGCAATACTGCCTCCCAACAGGGATATGCCAATAACAAAGTTTGAATACTCTCTAAACTATGTTGGTGACATCTAAAGATCCACACGATTTTCCACATATCCTGCTTATCTGGAAGGAACCTAAAGCTAAACAGTACCTTCTCTTTTAGAGCAAGAGCCTTCTGTGAATCTACATGAATCCCATCTTCTTCTGACTCTGATTCTTGAGACACAGAATCATGGGTACTATCTTCTTTGTCAAGCTCGTCAAGGATACTGTCCTAAAATCGTAAGTAGGAAAATACCCATAATTTAGAAACATACTCAAAAGAAAAAAATACACTCAGAAGAGCTTGTTATGACCTAAGGACCTAAACAGCTATAAAAGGAATCCAAATAACCTCACACTGTTAAGATTATATCCAAAGAAAAAGGTGCTCATGTTTAGAAAATGAAGACCCAAACCACTTAAAGATTCTGATTCCGAACTCATAAAGTAACCTAAGTCAACAGGGTCTACAACTCACCCTTAAATCACAAACTATCAGCAGTAAAGTACTAAGGATTGACCCAAGAGAAGTGTGCAAATAACCCTAAACTAATGTAATTAAGGGAACTTTGGTAGTTTAGTGGTGGAATTCTTGCTTCCCATGTAGGAAACCTGGGTTCAATTCCTGGCCAATGTACCTCATGTGCAGTCACCACCTGTCTGTGGTGGACTGCCTGTTGCTATGATACTGAACAGGTTTCAGCAGAGGTTCTAGACTAAGACAGACTAGGAAGAAAGGCCTGGGGATCTATCCAAAAATCAGCCAATGAAAACCATATGGACTGGGCAGCATTTCCCTCCTTTGCACTTGGACTCACCATGAGTCAGGGGCCAACTCTACAGCAGCTAACAACAATGTAATTAACACCTATAACCTTCTTTCTTCCTTGTTTTAAAACAAGAAAAACTGCTGATAGAGCATTAACTCCTGATAAAACAACCATGAGGTAGGTATAATTATCCATGTTTTTGCCTTGAGCAAAACCGGAAGACAGAAATTAACCAGTAAGTGGCCAAGTCAGGATGTGAACCCAGGCAGTCTGGCTCCTCTAGAGAACTCTCAATCACCATGTTATACTGCCTCTCGTGTATTCCAAAATACAGCTGATTCTACCAAAGAAAAAATATAATATGCTAGTCTGGCAGGTCTCAATCTCTTTTTGCCTCACTGTGGTGAAATGAGTTCCTTTATGTGACCTTTTGCCTTGGTTCTTTGGAAAAAGAGCTTGGGAGATTTTCCCCCAAAGCCCTGAAGAGTTACCTTTGCCCTAGTTTTCTACCCCAGAGAGTTTACTACTTTTGTCCAGGTTGACTGACATTTCCGGGGTAAACTGTAAACAATTTGATGGTTTGATACTTTTTGTCTTGCCCTGGGCTGCAGCCAGCCCGGTGATTGCTCTATTTTATGCACCTTGCAGGGACTGGTCAATACACTTTGCCAATGAAATGCCTATAGCCTAATATGCAAATGAAGCAACTGTGGCCTACCAAGAGGGTTCAGGGCCCTGGTAGATAGGCCATGCCTTGAAACTGACCAGGAATTAGCTTATATAACAGCCAACCCCACAGAGGTAGGCGGACAGAAAGAAGGAAGAAAGAAACAAAGGACAAAATAACAAGGGAGGCAAGAGAGAAGCAGCAGAGAGAGAGGAGGTGAGAAACCTAAAAGAGCTGTAACACGGGTCAAGGGCTGTTTAACACTGAAGACAAGACACCTGAAAGAGGTCCTGCAGCAGAGACAGTAGCAACAGGCCCCTTAAGACAGTGGTGACGGCAGAAACCTGCTGCTAGGAACACAGCTAAGAGAGCTGAACAAAACTGCTACGCTGGCTAGACAGGTTAGCAGTGGAGAAGCTGACTGTAGGGAGGCCAAAAGCAGAGAGGTCTGTACTAAAGGGGCTGAGAAGAGGGCTGTCCTGAGGGGGCTGAGGGGACATGCAGGACCAAAAAAGCCTATCCTAAAGAGGCTGAGGTCTCCACAGCTACACGGCAAGAGAAGGGCCCATATGCTTGCACAGCCAAGAGGAGCTGAGAGCTGTCCTACACTACAGAAGAGAGGGTTGTGCTCTCCTCTTCAGGGGAGGCTTCCAGACTTTGCCTGCATGCTTCCTGATCCTGAGGTGTAGCCTGTTACTTCCTTAATAAACCACTTACCTGTATAAGTATGGTCTATGAGTTCCATATGGCCACTGCAAAGAATTATCAAACCCAGCAGAGAAGTAGAGAGTGCCGTGGGGAGGACGGCTAGTGTCCGATCTGGTAAAAAGGTTGGAGAGCAGACATTATGTCTGACCTCCACCTCACAGGGAACAATCTTGGGCTGATCCTGGTTCTTATCCCTAAGGAACCTAGACAAGTTCTGACACTACTACTACTACCATTATACACTCACACACAATTTCCCGGAATAAATTATCTTATAGACAACATCACAATTTCTTTAAATCATGTCATTTTTTTTATCAGATATGATAAAAACATAATTTTAGTAAGGTATTTTAAATCACTAAGCATTACAGAATTCACTAAAGCTCACTTGAAATCTTTAATCATTATATAAACATCTTTTTGCATTTAACAAATGGCATACTGTTTCAAATTATTTATGTAAAAAAAAAATTGTTGATAAATTAAAAAATAAAATGAAATCCATGTTGTTTCTCTAAATGAACATTAAAACACAGACTGAAATTTAACGGTTTTATCACGAGGAGTCTAGGAATACCACTAGACTACCGCAAATACTAAAGCCAAGATTGCACAACCCTGCTCTGGTGACGTGCAGAAACTAATAGCAGCACACTAAAGCAGCTGCTCAGATCAGAACTAGAATGGAATGGTAAATAAACACCTTACCTTACACAGAGACAAAAATTTATACTGTGTCTTATCAGTGAGAGGAGAGCAGAGAGATAAAATGGGGGGGGATAGGTACTATGGAATACAGTGTCAGTACTAGTCAGAAGCAACAGATTAGATTTACAAAAAGCAAAACAGATGGATTTTAATAGTTGGAAAAGGAAGAGACACAGAATGATTTACACCATTTTTGTAAATTTTTAAAACCCCAATACAAAATTCTGCTCTTAATAAGAACAGAAAAATAGCACCTTCCTAGGATCAAGACAGGCTCTACTTTTATTATCACATAGCCCCAACCCTAAAACTAGACACAAAGATACTCTCTTTTAGTAGGTCCTTCAGTCTATAAAGAGGGTACTGGCAGAGTCATTCTTTCCTGGAAGTATTACAGTCTTAGAATCCTGGCTGTTGAGGGGTTAGGGATGATGGGGAAGGAGGAGGTGGGTGTGACTACAAAGGAATTAGCACAAGGGACAGCTACACATCACACCAACGTCAACTTCTTGGTTTTGATATTGTACGAGTCAAGTAAGATGTAACCAGAGGGGGAACCTGGGTGAAGAGTACACTGGACCTCTCTGTATTATTTTTGCAAAGAAAAAAATAACGAAACAGAAAAAAGAATCCTGGCTGTCTTAGCTACCATTCATTGAATGAAGAATGAGAGAGAAAAAATAATCTAGTTAATTTAAGAGACATACAATTAAATTTTTATTCCACAAGACACAGCCTATAGAAGAATAAAACAAATTATAAGAACTCTATTATTTTTCATTTAATCCATCTTGGCTAACTACAAGAAAATTTTATTTAACTATTAAGAAGCACTAGATTACCACATCAAGTTTCGCCCATGCCTCATAATCGTACGATTTTATTCTGTTTTTGGTGTTTTCCTCTTTGGTTTTTTTAGAAGACTCTTTAGCTTTGCCTTTCTTCTTTTTCCTAAAATTCCCATTTCGAATAGGAGGTAAATTCTAGGGGAAAAGAAAAAAAACACACACGAAGTTTTGAGCACTACTATGTAACTTTTTTATATAAGTAGTAATACTTAAAATTCTTACTAAACTATATTTTCAAATAAGAACTAATTTTTAAATTTAATTTTCAAATTCTTATGGATATCAATTTACCATCCTTACTTATAATGATAATCTATGCTTGAAAAATTTAATTCATCTTTTGATGAATGCCAAACATTGAGCAGTCTCAAGAAATGTATTACCTAGGAATTCTAATTGTAAATTTAATCTACAATTCTAAATTCAAACTTCAAAAACTATCTTCAGCTTTAGTATAAGGAATTAGCAGTAGAACAAAGGCAAACTTAAAATCTTTACTCATTATATAAACAACGTCCTTTTTACATTTAACAAAAATTGCCTCCATATCATTAGGTACAGTATGAAAAGCCTATCCATATTTAAACGAACTGTCTTAAAAAAACATTTGGTTGAGCCTAGGTACTATCTGCATTTTTATGCTGATTTATTGTACGTTAACATATCATTAAACACATACACCACATATACTGAGTTTTTTTAATAATACTATCCATTCACCCTTGAGTACTATCACATGGTCTTCCTTTCAGTAACTATTCACTAAACCTTAAAATGTCTTCTACTATAATTAATACCATTATTACAAAGGTTTCTTAAAAAGTAGAATTAAAAAAAAATGTTTACAGTAAAACAAATCACTTCGATTTCTGTATTTTCACAAAATATTTTTAAAGGCTGTGCTTTATTTTAAAATAAAGTTTTCCTGGACGTGAAATTAGAAATTCTTAATTTACCTCTTCAAGAACACCATTCTGTTTTCTTAGCTCCATATCCTTTTGTTTAATGTCTTTTTCCCAGTTTTCTAAATCCCTCATGAAGTCTTGTAGTTCTTCTGCATTTTGTTTCACTTGCAGTTGTAATTCAATTGCTTTACTTGTTGAAGTCATTATGGCCTGCAGAGTTTTTAACAACCAACCTTTAATCAGAATTAAATAAAATTGGTTTATTTTTCTGAAACCTAGCTAATCAATAACTTCACTTCATAAATGGCCAAGATACATGAAGAGCAGAAAGCCTAATGTCATGTTGAAGAAAGAAAATGTCAATACACCCACTCCTCACTTATGACATGGTTAGGTTCCTAAGAACAGGTCATTATGAGAAAATCGGCGTTATGCAAAACTGCAGGGATTTTTTGTTTGTTTGTTTTCAGGCCATCCATTTGTCTGATTCTTTTTATTTAGAAATATGATCATAGAAACAATTACAGCTAAGATTTACTGATGTGCTCATCACTTTGATAAGTCTAGCTACAGATTACTCCTCCGTGGAGAAGGAGGCATGGAGGAGACAAAGCCGATAAAGGTGGACTGAGTGACTGGAGGGCCGGAGGCTTAACCACTTCACCTTCCTCCTGTGCTAGGTAAGAGCTCCCCTCGCAGAGCCACCTCCAGGGCTCCAAGCCCACCCAAGCAAGCCCCGAGTTCATGATCCCAGGGCCTGTTCTGCCCTCTGGGCCCGGCGAGCCACCAAGGCTCAGGGCTTCTTGCAAGGGCACTGGGAGCCTCCACCAAGGTGGAGGTTTCAGGCCCAGTTCAGCTCACTTTGCGATGTCATTAAACTCACAAGCATTTCTTCCAAACACCCTCTCTGATGCCTCTTTCTTTCCTCCCTTCTCACCCCACAGCAATTTTGAGCTGTAAGGCCTCAGGCCGCACAAGGGCTAGGAACCCCCTGGCTCAGTGCTGCCTGTGCGTCTGCCTGGAGGCCACAGCCACAAAAGAGGCTGGCCCCAGGCGGCAGTTGAACACCCAGCCCCCACCAGCAGGATGGAGCGGAGGGCACAAGGCAGTGTGGCCCAGCTTCCCAGAGATACTCCTCAAGGGAGGGGATGCTCTGCAGCCACTGCCACCATGTCCCCTGCCTCCATGCACAAAATCGTCAGACAGCGTATTTCTTACTATTGTCATAAATGTTAGATATCATATAAAGAGACAGTAGGTGAAGAATAGGTGTACAGTATTTTTAAAATGAGTCAATAAACTGTTGCAGAATAAAGGAATGAAAATCAGACAAGCACGGACATGCCAGCAATCCATCACGAGTGAAAAGCAATAGAGAAGCAATCATGGACACTAGCAAGTAGTCCAGAGTAGCAGATTGGTTGATCAGCCAATAAGGACACTCTAATTACCTCCTTTACTCCTCTCTTTCTTCCAATATTTACTGAGCTTCTACGTAACAGGTCCCGTATCAATAGTTAGGGATGCAAAAACAAATTAAGATCCTTTGTCTAGTGGAGAAGAAAGTAATCAGAATACTGAGTAACAGATATTATGCTAGGTAGTTTCTCAACCTCAACACTATTAACATTTTGTGCCAGACAATTCTTTGCTGTAGGAAACCGTCCTGTACATTGCAGGACGGTTAGCAACACCCCTGGCCTCTACCCACTAGATGCCAATAACCTCTCCCCCGCTTTTCTGATTGTGACAACCGAAAATGTCACTGACAATGCCAAATGTCTCCTGGGGGGCAAAATCACCACTGACTCTACACAGAAATATGTATAGATGCTAAGGGACTGACTACAAAGGATGGGCATAAGTCAGATGGGTGTTGTGTTCAAGGAAGGAATCCCCAGAGGTAGATTTAGTTGAGTTTTAAAAGAGGCAAGCCACGTGACTAACCGGGAGGAGTGTGCAAGCAGAGTTGAGGTACTGCAACAGAGAATAAATGAAGGTAAGGTTAAAAACCATAGATATGGGACAGATCTTAAAATGCTTGACCATGAAGTCTGATCTATATTCTGAAAGCACTGTAAAGGTATTAAGGTGGTAAAATAAAAAGGACTTGGGACTGACTGTATTGAGTTGGGGGAGCTAATAAAAGACTCAAACAACATCCTAGATGCCCTATTCAGGACGCTGGGAAGATGAGTGATGACATTTTGAGTCAGGAAATATAATTTAAAAAGGAAACGAGGTTTGAGGATTTTAGGGCAAATAGAAAGATTATTTCAGTTTGGGACATGTTGAATTTGAGCGATTATGGGACATTAGGGGAAGATATCCAGTAGGGAGTTAGCTATACAGGGCTGGAAATACAAATTTTGGTGTCATCAGCCCAAAGGTGGCAGTCAGAATTAGATTTGAATATGTCCAATCAGGGTGTCTATGGGGGAGGGGGGCTGGAGAACACTAATATTTAGGGAACAGAGGAAAAGATGTCCACATAGAAAAAGTCAGCAGTTGCAGCTAGAGTGTTAAAAGGAAAAATCTAGGGAGTAATGTCACAGAAGATCAGAGAAAATGAGTCCAAGAAAATGGGAGAGGTTAGCAGTGTCAAATACCACAGAAGCCATACAAGGGAAAGAAAAGTGCATTACATACATATGAAGATTATTGAGAGTTTTAACGGGATTAAAAAAAACAGGTGGAAATAAAATGAGCTAAGCAAACAAGATATATGGGATTAATGCACTAAAGGCACTGGCAAAAAACAAGGCTCCAGGAACTGACGGAATACCAACTGAGATGTTTCAACAAATGGATGCAACGCTGGGAGTCCTCATTTGTCAATACCAAAGAATTTGGAAGACAGCTACCTTGCCAACCAACTGGAAGAGATCCGTATCTGTGCCTATTCCAAGGGAAAGGTGATCCAACAGAATGTGGACATTATCAAATAATATCATTAATATCACACGTAAGTAAAATTATACTGAACATAACTCAAAAATGGCTGCAGTAGTACATCAACAGGGACCCGACTACCACCAAGAAAGAAAAGTCGAGAGAGGAGCGCATCCTTTGGATCCAGGGCCCTGGTGCTGAGAACATCCTAGACCCAGAAGACTGATGCTAAGACACATGGAGATCTCCGAGGGATGCTCGGCCCACAGATGTTAAAAGGAGACAAGGATCTTCCCCCAGAGCCAACAAAGAAAGCAAGCCTTACCCTAGAGCTGGAGCCCTGAATTTGAATTTCTAGCCACCTATACTGTGAGTAAATAAATTGTTAAAGCCATCCAATTGCGATATTTCTGTTATAGTGTTGTTGTTAGGTGCCTTCAAGTTGGTTGCGACTCACAGCGACCCTATGTACAACTGAATGAAACACTGCCCGGTCCTAAGCCATCCTCACAATCGTTGCCATGCTTGAGTCTACTGTTGCAGTCACTGTGTCAATCCATCTCGCTGAGGGTCTTCCTCTTTTTCACTGACCTTCTACTTTACCAAGCATGATGTCCTTCTCCAAGGACTGATCCCTCCTAATAACATATCCAAAGTATGTAAGACGTAGTCTCACCATCCTTGCTTGTAAGGAGCGTTCTGGTTGTACTTCTTCTAAGACAGACCTGTTCATTGTTTTGGCAGTCCATGGTATATTCAATATTCTTCGCCAACACCACAATTCAAAGCCATCAATTCTTCTTCGGTCTTCCTTATTCAATGGCCAGCTTTCACATGCATTTGATGTGACTGAAAATACCACAGCTTGGGTCAGGCGCACGTTAGTCTTCAAGGTGACATCTTTGCTTTTCAACACTTCAAAGAGGTCTTTTGCAGCAGATTTGTCCAATGCAATCCAATGCATCTTTTGATTTCTTGACTGCTGCTTCCATGGGTGTTGACTGTGGATCCAAGTAAAATGAAATCCTTGACAACTTCAATCTTTTCTCCGTTTATCATGTTGCTTATTGGTCCAGTTGTGTGGATTTTTGTTTTCTTTATGTTGAGGTGTAATCCATACTTCAACAAATGGATGCAACGCTGGGAGTGCTCATTCGTCTATGCCAAAGAATTTGGAAGACAGCTAACTGGCCAACCAACTGGAAGAGATCCATATTTGTGCCTATTCCAAGGCTGTGGTCTTTGATCTTCATCAGTAAGTGCTTCAAGTCCTCTTCACTTTTAGCAAGCAAGGTTGTGTCATCTGCATAACACAGGTTGTTAATGAGTCTTCCTTCAATCTTGGTGCCCCATTCTTCATATAGTCCAGCTTCTCAACTTCTGTTATAATAGCACTAGATAACTAAGATAAAAGATAACTAGATAAAAGACTTGCTAGTAAGTACAGACTGGGGGTGGGGGAGCCTGGCCGTGGCGAAGATAAAAGAAAGAGGATGAGAGATGGGGCAAGGTTCCAAGAAGATGGGAGGGGATTCAAAGCTTAAGAGGTTAAGAGGGGGAGGAGCGAAGAGAGAGAACGGATTAGTTTAGAAGTTAAAAACTCCTCACCAGACAGTAAGGAAGAAGAAAGAGACGGATGCAGATGCAGACAGGCCTTCTGATTCTTAGCCTAAACCGTTTAACCTCCTTTCGGCGAATATCTATGTTTGATTATATATGTGTTGTTGTTCGAGTCGAATCTGATCGTATATGTAGATCTCATTTAAAAACAAAACTAGTATAATACCTTGCTTAGGACTCAAAAAATATGAAAATAAACGCAGTAAGCCACTGAAATGGGGAGAGGGGCATGAAACATTTCCCATTTCACCTATCTGCCTCTGCTGCTCCCGCAGACCCAATTGCTCCCGTGGAACCTGCGATGGGGCAGAAGCGTAAGCAACGAGAAAAGTCCAGCGCTTAGAGGTATCACTTGCATACCACTATCCGGACGAACAGCGCACGCCCAAGCCGAAAGGGGGCGGGGCCCCACCCTGGTCTTCTTGGGAGGGTGGATATGCGTCCCAACCACCGCAAAACGCGTAATTTGTAGCCGCAGAGCAGGCACCGTCAGCAAAACAGAACGTCCAGGCCTGGGGTGCGCGGGGCGAGCCCCTCACGGGAACGCGCTCCCCGAGACGCCACTATCCTGGACACCGCTGCGCCGCCCCCAACACCGCAAGCCCCCGCCCTTTCCACCTCACCCGGTACCCACGGTAGCGCTCCTTCCTCCCCCTACGCAACCCAATAGGCCTCCTCGGCTCCTGTAGCCCCGGATAACCGCAAAATCTGCACACCTCACCGGCCGTTAGCCACACCACCACCACCACCACCACCACCACCACCGGATCAGACCAGCAGCTACTCACGCCGAGCCCCGCCTTCCTCGGCTGTCCCACAATCCCCTGCGTGCCCTCGCCCCGCCCCCTGGAGCCTGGGCTCGAGCGTGCGCAGAGAATCAGATGCGGTGAGCCTTACCTGTGGGACAAATTTAGTGAGTTGAAAAATGTGACGCTTTGCTCAGCGCTTACTATAACCGAAGCTGAGAAGCTGGGCCGTATGAAGAACGATGGGGCATCAGGATTGGAGGAAGACTCATTAACAACCTGCATTATGCAGATGACACAACCTTGCTTGCAGGGTCATCCTATCACGTTCTGGCCTCCAAAATAATAAAGCCTTGAGTATTCCCCTGTTGTTGTTGGGTGCAGTCTATTCTGACTCATAGTGACCCTGAATGGCAGAGTAAGACTGCAGTGGGTGCGTTCGAACCACCAATTCGGTTACTAGCCGAGCACTTAACCCTGTGCGCCACCAGGGCTCCTCCAGGATCCCCTCAATTTTATTCCTGATACTTGCTTTGTGGTGTCTACGGATATGTCATGCACCTGTAAACCCTATGCTCTGCTGACTCCCCTGTCTTGCTCATTTGACTGAACTCCCCTGGGGAAGGGCAGGACAAGGCCTTGTTTCATCCATCTGCACTGTGTAACCTGCTTGAGGTATGCGTTCAATCCTGGCCTTTTCCTAGCATCTGAGTCCTAAAACGTCTGTTTACGGGTTTGAGAACTCTTCTTACGTATTTCTGTAGCATTTCTTCTTCCTCAGTTTGTTCAGTCTTTGCAAGCACAGAAGCTGCATCGAGAGGAATCCTTATGCTCCTTGTCTATATGGTCAAGGCGGGGCTGGTTCGTGGGGGTGGGGGGGCACCACTCTCCATTTACTCCATACCTCCCCATAGTCTATATGTGGTGTTCCTTCTACCCTTCACATCACAGCTGCACCAGGAAGAATTCTCTTTCCCTCTTGGCTAGAGAGATTTAGTAAGTCACCAGGGACTTCAGCAAGATAACACATGCTTCAAGCCATCCTGAAGAAACCCTGAAGCCACAAACACCACTCCCATCTCTACTCGAGACCTCTGGGGAAAAGGCAGAGAGACCAACAGTTGAGGGGAGTGGGAATCAAAAGAAGAGACACATTTCAAGTTTTCTCAAATTACTTTATTTGGAGACTAGGACTGAATCATGAGTTCAAGCCTGGCTCTGTGGGACAGCATCTGGTTTCCCATGGGGTCAGGGGAGAAATGCATAACTGAGGTTGAGATAAGAAGCCTCAGTCTCCCAGGTCTCCCATTCTAGAGTCCATTTGAAGCAAATTATGGCTGTTGGATAAGCCATAAAACGATTATGTTAATAATACCAAGCTATAGGTTCCTTTCTTCTTCTGATGCTAAATCTTGTTCCTGTGAGAGGAACTCTTTCAAAAATTATCCAGGATCAAAACCCAGCTCCGTAGCTATACTAATCACCCACAAGGGGGAAGCTCCTTGATGCAGATACTGAGCTGGCCACAAAAGCACTCAGGCCTGGAGAAGTCCTCCCTTCCCCAGCCTACACATTAACAAGAGCCCTTTACTCTTCCCGGTCCCACATCAGAGTTCCCCCAGAACCCGTTCTCAGAAGATCTAACCCCAAAAAAGACCAAATCCTCACTGCTTGGTTTCCATGGCCTGATTTCTAAGAGGTCCCCAACACAGAGGGAGTTGTACTTTGTAGAGTTGTATACAATGACAGCCATTAAAGTAATCTTGAATTTCTATCAGCCGTTCTTCCTGAGAACAATTGAAAACACTTTCACAGTAATAATATCATCAAGTTTGCCCTCTCACCAACCCCAGAAAGAGGAAAGGGAGAAGTTCTCTTTCCTTTACATGAAAGGGAAACATGGGGCCTGGAGAGATAAAAGGACATGTCCACGGTTCCAGCACACATCAGGACAAAGAGTTATCGAGGGTTCCCACCTTTTCCGTCTAGACTCCGATTCTTAGACTACGTTGCCAAAATGGTGGAGCACAAAGATTTGACTGTTTCTGTGCGTTTTTCTAATTCATTTCTTTTCCATTTTTCCAATATGGGTATTTCTTGATTGGAGAATCCCGCTCAGTGACCCGGTCTCCTCCCTTCCCTCTCCAGCCCAAAGCAGATAGCTCCCCACTCCTGGGACAGCCCTCACTGCCCTCATGCCCCTTTCTGGTTCAGAGTTCTACTGGGTGGAAGACACCACATAGGCTGTGGCAATGTACTTCTCGCCATTTCCATAGGTGGACTTGTTCCAGGTGTAGGTCTGGATAGCCAGGGGATACCCAGCCAGGCTTAATGGGCACCTGTGGGAAAAGATCACTAAATCATAGGGGCTCTTCACTTCATGCTGCCCCTGTCCCCCAGCTGAAGGGATCAAGCCCAACCCAAGCAGAAGGGGTCCCTCCTGTTTTAAAGGGCCTTTAAGAAAGAGCTGCCACAGGTTTCCTCAGCCATGGGCAGGGAGCCCTTCCAAAACCTATGTTTCATTTTCTATCTCCTTAAAGAACACTGCTCTTCATCTTTCCCCGAGCAGTACTCCAGAATCCTAAAACCCCAGATTCTACAGCTGAAACCCTCCCTCACAAAAATTAAATGTTTGCCTAGGGCTACAGAAGTAGGAAGTCCCAGACATCATAAATGTTAAACCTGGAAGGGGCCTCCAGAACACGAGTCCCAGTGGTTCCAAACAGTATTCTCTGGGGGTCCGGGACTCACCAAGCAGCTTTGAGGACCACATAGATGCAGCTCAGAGACCCAGTGCCATTTCTATCTGTTTTACATAATAGGGTCCTGCAGGAGATTCTACTTGGGGGAAGGGAATGTGGTTCTGCTGCTAAGATGATGTTTGGCAGCCACTGACTAAATCCAACAACTTCATTTTCTAAGTGACAAAACCGAGGCCCAGAAAGGTGATTTGTCCAAGCCCACACAGCCATTTAGTGGCAGAATCCAGGTCTCCAGAATCTCCCCTGGCTGAAGACAGCCGGCAGCCCCAGCCCCGCTCTCCAGGTCCGGCTGGCCCAGTACTCACACTTTGCCTGGCCTGGCGATGAAGCACAGGGAGTAGAGCGCAAACTCAAACTCTGGGCTGCTGCCGATGAAAGAGGAACCCACTTCCTTATAGTAGCCGTCCCAGTTGAACTGCATCGCCAGCACATCAGGATAGGAGTCCCACTGCAGAGAGAAGGGCGGTGAGGGGGACGAGTGACTCCCACACAGTGGAGTCAGGCAGACGGGTGAGGGCCCATAGCGGGCCTGAATGGGCTTTCTGGGGCAACTGGATTCTTTAAGTAGAGGAAATGGTCTGCCCTGCTAAGGTGTCTGAGCCCCACTCAGTGGACCCTGTGCCTAGAGCTGCCAGTGCACATCTACCAGAGAGGCCAGAGTCTGCATCCATACAACCAATCCCAGGACAGTGCCTCACATTGGAAGGGAGGGACAATTTCTTGCTCCCAACTCACTTCCTAGCACAGGGCAGCAAAGGGTTGTTTTTTATAAACTGTATGGTGTGTAACTCAGAGTAGCCAGGCTGAAGCTTCCAGACAACTGACCATACTAAGGAAACTCAGGCAGGGGCAACAGAGTCTTTGGTTCTCCCCTCTGAGAGTCCTCCCCTGCCCCTGTCCTCCCACCCAGAAATGCTGCCCTCTGCTCCCGCGCCCTGCAGTTCTCCAGCCTTCACTATTCGGAAGGGAATCCCAGCGTCCTGGCTGGTTAAGCCTCCTCTCCAGAGATGGGAAAGTCAGATTTACAATCCCCATTAGGCTGCTGATGAGAGTTGGGTGAGAGACAAGCCCCACTTGTCAGTTCCATGACTGTTTGGAACACGGAAGGAAGGCAGAAAGTCTGGGCACTAACAAGGCTTTCCCAGCCCAAGAGGTCAGGGCTCAGCACTCACAGGCCCATCATAAATGTAACTGTAGTAGTCAAGCAGGCCTTCTTTCTCCTGTAGGTAGAAGCGGATCCAGTTGTGGAAGCCAGTGACTTTGCCTTTTTTGACTTCACCTATAACAATCAAAGAGTCCAAGGTGGGTGATTGGCCCTTCCTTCCCTTCACTTACCCTCCAATCCCTCCCACCCCACACCAAGGCTGTCTCCCTCCTCCAAGTCTCTGATTCCTAGAATGACCACCTATCCTTCACAGGTAGGAGTCTCACCTCTGACTCCCCAGAGTCCCTCCCATCCTTATCTCTCACCTCAGGAAGACTCCCTTTTCATCTCAAGCCCTTGGGAGAATTCCTCCTCTCTGCTGACTGTGGTGACCACACTAGGATACTCTTCTCAGCCCTTTCTCTAGGAGCTAGCCAGACTTGGCGAGAGCTTTTTGGAGTGGGGCAGTGGGGAGAAAGACCGTGGTCCTCTTGGGGAGCAGCTTAACAAGCACTGGAGGCAGAAGCTATTCAGAGGCAGACAACCTGGCCCCTAAAACTTCTCCCATCCTAGACAGATCCCTTGGGAGTCCCTGTATCTGGTCTTCTTTCCCCTTACGTATTCCAGAAGACAATGTTCCTCGGAATGGCTGATCAAACCCTTCCCTCTTGACCTGGGAATGGAAGTGTCTCGTCTGCCAGCTGGCTTGGCTGCTGATACATCAGTGCCCAATGCTGCCCTACTCCTGACTGAAGTGGTTCCTTTTCATCCCTCCACCTCCAACTCTTTCCTTCCAAGCAGAGTGATCCCACCTGAGAAGACATGTTCAAAGCCACTTGAGTCTCTCTCTCCATTGCGTCTTGAATAGAGTCCAAACCACATGTTCTTCAAGTCATTGACAAACTCTTGCTCTGAGCTGTAGCGATCTGGGGAGGGGAACATAGAGGACTTAGGAGAGGGGACGACTGGCCTAGGTCCTGGGAAGCAAGGAAGAGCTATCTGCTCCAGTATATCAGGAGACACATGGGTTCAATCAACAAATGTATTCAATTGTTCATTCAACAATGACTTACAGGGCACCTATTTTGTGCCAGGCCAATATCTAAAGGCCAGGGATTCAGCAGGAGATAACAAGGACAAAGTTACTGCCTTTGTAGTTTACATTCCAGTGGAGGATACAGATAATAAACAAGTAAGCAATGCATAAATAATATGATATCAGATAAGTGCTATGAGGAAAATTAATCAGAGTAGCTCATAATGATGGGGGTTCTTCTAGAGAAGAAGATCAGCAAGTCTCTGAGAAGGAAGCATTAATCAGAAACCTGAATGATAAGGAGTTAGCTACACAAAGATATTGGGGAAGATTCTTCCACGTAGAGGGAAAAGCAAGCACAAAGCCTTTGAGGCAGGAATGAGCTTGGTGTTCAAAGAACTGAAAGAAGGTCAGTATAGCTGGGTATAGTGAACAGGAGGGGAGAGTGGTGGGAAAGGAGGTCCCAAATTATATGTGGAAGGTACAAAAGAAATACCACACATACTCTCTCCTTTCAAAAACTTAAACGACAATTGGAAAATAAGACTAAATGTACATGACATAATGGAGAGTGATTTCACAAACTGAATACTTGCCACTTGCTGTGCACTTACTATGTACCAGGCTTTCTACTGGGTGCTTACATGCATTAATCCTAAAAAAACACATTCCACAGATAAGACTCAGAAAGGTAAAATGACTTGTCCAGGGTCGCACTAATAGCAGGTGGCAGAGCCAGGAGTCAGACCAAGTCTCTTTGGCCCAAGGCCACACCTCAAACTCTCAGCCTGCTGAAAGCCGGCAGTGAGCTGGGGTAAGAGGATGGCTTTTGTAAATGTGGTGGAATGTGGACTAAATGGGATTTGAGCAGGGAGACAGTCGAGAAGAGGGTGCAGCAATGATGTGGGAACCCTGGGTTCCAGCCCGGGCTCAGCTTCCAACCTCCTTTGTGGCCTCACGCATCACTTGGCCTGTCTCCATTTTTGTCATTTGAAAAGTGAAGGGAGATGTATAGTAAACCAAACTCGGTGCTGTCGAGTCAGTTGCAGAACTGCCCCATAGGGTTTCCAAGGAGCAGCTGGTGGGTTTGAACTGCCGACCTTCTGGTTAGGAGCTGAGCTTTTAACCACTACACCACCAGGGGTCCAAAATGTATAGAGAGCAAAGTATAATAGTGGTTACCAGGGGTGAGAGGGAGGGGGGAGAGGGAGAACCATTGTTTAGTAGACAGTGAGTGTTTGTTTGTGGTAATGGGATATTTGGCAATGATTATGGGTGGTGGTTGCCACAACATGATTAATATAATTGATATCACTAAATTGTACACCTGAAAAATGTTGAATTGGTAAGTGTTGTATTATATATATTTTTACAACAGTTTATAAACCTATATTAAAAAAATAAGTGGCACACACAAAAGGAAAAAGAAAAAAGTGAAGGGCTCACTCTAGACCTCCAAGATGCTCTCCTGGTATCATTCGAAAGAGGACACCAGGGGGCAATGCAGGATTGTGTCCTCTTCACGGGGATTTCTGTGTGTCCCTTGCTTCTCTTATAAACAGAGCCTTGTTACCAACTCTAAGGAAGGCCTGCGGCAGCTCTGAGCAGAGGCGATCCCACCGCCACTGACGGAAGACCTGCAGAGTGCAGCCCTGGGACACAGCCCAGCTGCTTGGAGTTCAGGAAAGGAATCCAGAGGACACTAACAAACACAACCCTGTGCCAAGAAGTCCCACAGCCAAAACCTTTTTTGGTCTGATTTGAATGTATCTGGAGTTGCTCCAACCAGAGCCCTTACCGGTAGAACTTCCCTCTCTGAACCTTTGTTGATTTTCTGTTGCTGTTTCCCTAGCAAAAATGTGGAGTCAACCAACCACCTTCCTGGACTTTGTGCAGGAAGAGGGAGGAGAATCAGAGACTCTACCTGCCTAAAGTAGTGCTGACACTGGATCAGTGAGGGGGTAGAGAAGTGCCCTGGGAGGAGGGGTGGGAGTGGTTCAGGACCCGGGAAGGACCCTGAAACTGAAGCAGGGGTGCACTAGTAGGCAGGGGGGAGGGGCTAGATGGGGCAGCTAAGGTCAAGTCAAAAGATGGAGTGATTTCCAAGCCAGAGAGCGGTTAATTCAGCTCCTGGCTAGGTCCATAACCTCTGGGCTCCTCTCTGACCTCCTCCCTGACCCCTCCTGGATGTACACTGACCTCCATGTAATCCCTACTGTTTTCTCACCAGCTCTCTTAACCTCCCCACCATGGAGACCCCAGAGGTGCCTGGCTCTCCTGCAGATAGACCCCAGCCCTTAGCACTGCCTCATGGGGCCTGGGATGGCTCACTCACTATGGTAGTGAAGGAAGCCGTAGAGTTCCTTCATGACGGCTGTCTTCATGATCTCTCTGAGGAAGACATCCTGCTCAGCCAGCTGCTGGGCACTAAAGTGCTCCCTGTGGCCTGTTGCCCGCTGGTAGTTGTTGAGGAGGTTGATGAAGGCAGCATAAGTTGGTTTAGAAAACAGCTTCTCATTGACATAGGTGAAGAGCCTGGGGGAGGTAGAGGGAGACCCACTGACAGGCCTGAATATGGAAAAGAAATCCCTTCAAGAACTTCCGGGTGGGGCAGGGTTAGGTTCAGGAGCAAAGTTGAGGACTTTAGATACTCTTGATGGCTACTCATGAGGTCATTCTTTCTTCTATTTCATCCTTGGAAGGTCACTTCTATCTTCAGCCTGGCCAATCAAAGAAACCCTCCCAACTATATCCTCAATCCCTCAAGACGACCTTATTTGTCTCTGGGGCCTATTTTTTTCTCTTCCTTTGATTCTGCCTGATTTGAAGAGAAAAGAGAAAACAAAAACCAAACCTGCTGCTGTCGAGTTGATTCCGACTCATAGTAACCCTATAGGACAGGAGCAGCTGGTAGATTTGAACTGCCAGCCTTTTGGTTAGCAGCTGAGCTCTTAACCACTGTGCCAGCAGGGCTCCAAAAGAGAAAAGAAATGAGGCATAAAAAGAATCAAGGATGAGGGAGAGACTTTGGGGGAAGCAGGAAGAGAAATGAGGGGAACTCACCGCTGTGGGCAGTGATCCACTTGGTCTCTGGTCTCGGAAGGGGAGATGCAGTTTTGGCTATTGAGAACAATGTCTGCCTTCTGGGCCTTGTTGATGTCTGCCTTGTAGATCTTCTCAGAGATGCTCCGAAGCTCGTCCTTGGTTATGGCATCACTGCTGTGGGAGAAGCCCTCTGGAAGGAATTAGAGGAAGAATGGTCTCAGAGCTGGAGGGAAGACTGGGGTAGGGCAGCTCTCTGTGTGCATCCCCTCCTGGGAACCTTCTAGAAGCTAGCAGTGAGGGCAGGGTCATATGGGAGAGGGGCCACGGTCAGACACCCTGGGGTTGGAGAGCAGGGCACTAGGGTCTAAAGGACCTTAAAAACATTACATGGTATTGCCACAGAATGTCCACAAATTGTCCACACTGCCCCTTCCCTCTAGGAAGGTTCTCAAAACTTGGCATGCATTACAATCTCCTGGAGGGCTTGTTAAAAACAGATTGCTGAGCCCCATCCTGGTGTTTCTGATTCTGTAGGTCTGGGGTAAAGCCTTAGACTTTGCATTCCTAATAAATTCTTAGGTGACCTGTTGCTGCTAGCCCAGAGACTACACTTTGAGAACCACCACTCTGTCTCTCAGAGGCTATGCTATAAGGAGCAGGGACTGACCGTGGCCACACAGCATCTCAAAATCCTCACAGCAGTTTCCAAACTCTTGGCAGCGGGCATCACAGTGGCATGGGCGGTGCTTGTCAACAGGTTTGTAGCAGCGGCCGCGGCAGGAGCTGGGTTCTGAGTACAGGTCTGAGGGAACAGGGGGCTTGTGTGTCTTCAGGAGACCTCTAGAGGTCGCTCTAAAAGTCCCATAGGCTCCTTCCCTCCATCCCTCCCTTAGCCTTGCTCTTGTCACTCTTCCTACTAAAGGTCTCCAGGGAAGGAAAATAAACAAGCTTAGTTCGTGCACACCCTTCACAGGCAGGAAGTCCTTTCTGATGCCCAACTTTACTTTCTGGCCTGTTGTTTTTGTAATCTCCCTACTCTAAAAATAAAATCTTTTCCACTTCCATCTCCTGGCCTCTCCCTAGGCCTCAGATGTTCGTCTCTGGATACCTCCAGGCTGGGGAGCCCCTCAGGCTTCTTCCCTTCTAGGCCAGGCCCTAAGAGTGCAGCAAGCCCCTCTCCCCACCTCCCGGCTCTGGCTTTGGGGTCCATCTAGCTTAGGCCTGGGTCTGTTGCTGCTGCTATGGCCGTCCCCTCCTTGTCACCCCCTCCTGTCCCTCCTCCTTTATTCTGAAGGCCCCTTGCTGGGTAGGTAAACTCACTGCTAGCTGGGGCCTCCCAGGTCTCCTCCTCCAGCTCCAGGAATGCCTTCGGCTCTTTGGGGTCCTCCTCAGCTGTAGGTCAGAAAAATAAAGTCACCAGCCAGCCCCGAATGTTCTCCTCCCCTTTTTCTCTAGTTCTCAGCACCCCAAGCCTCAGGGACAAGGATGTAAAAACAGTGGCTAGGGTACAATGAACTAGTACCAAGTAAAGGAGGATGAAATCTGAAAATGGAAGACAAAAGAGGACAGATGATTGAAAACTGTTACAAAAAATGACAAATCTGACCACTTTACCACTCTGATGCTCAGTGTGCTCATCTGTAAAATGGGTAGGTGTGTGGTAGAGGGGGTAGCCCTTCTGGATTAAAAACTCTGATTTTGGTTACCACTATTCTTTAACTGGAGCCCTGGTAGCTGCTAACCAAAAGGACGGCAGTTTGAATCCACTAGCTGCTCCCTGGAAACCCTATGGGGCAGGTCTACCCTGTCCTATAGGGTTCCTATGAGTCGATGGCAACGAGTTTTTTTTTGGTTTATTCTTTAACTAGGCATCCCTGAGTGATGGAAACAGTTAAACAGTAGGCTGCTGACCAAAAGGTTGGTAGTTCAAATCCACCGAGAGGTGCCCCTGAAGAAAGATCTGGTAATCTACTTCCAAAAGATCATAGCTATTGAAAACCCTATGTGCAATTCTATTCTGAAACACATGGGGTCACCATGAGTCTGACTCCATGGCAACTGGTATTCTTTAACTAAAACTGACGGATGGATAGAGTTTTGCACTCCCCAAATTTCCCTCCCTCACTTAGGAACATCCCATAACTATAACCACTCCTAATCAGAGTCAAGGGCCAACTCCTCCCACAGGTTCAAGAAACAAGAGCTGTTTCCTGAGATGCCAACTTCCCTCCTTTCTTTGCCCCACTTGACAGTGGCCGCAAAGACTGCGTTTGGGGCAAGGGTGTGTACAGAAATCACTTTCCTCTTGCTACCCCATTTCCTGAGCAGGGCAGTCGGAGTGACTGCAGCCTTGGCTCTGGATGGAGAAGGGGTGGGGTGGAGGGGGGAAGAAGTCAGGCAGGAAATGTTCCTGGGGAGTCTGAACTTTTCTCTCATTACACAGTGGAATAATTTCCCCCAAAGGAACTACACTGTTACAAAGTGATTCCGAATCTATTAGTATATTTGCTGAATGGTATCATGTTATTGAAGTTCTGGTGGTTCAGTGGTAGAATTCTTGCCTTATATGTGGGAGACCTGGGTTTGATTCCTGGCCAATGCACCTCATGCACAGCCACCACTTGTCTTTCAGGGGAGGCTTGTGTACAGCTATCATGCTAAACAGGTTTCAGTGGAGCTTCCAGACTAAGACTAGGAAGAAAAGCCTGGCAATCTGCTTCGAAAAATCAGCCAGTGAAAACCCTATGGCTCACAATGGTCTGATCCTATGCATGGTGTTGCCATGAGTTGGGGGCTGATTGCACAACAGCTAAAAACAACATTGGGTTATGACTTTTCGAACCGTGGGTCAGGTTATTTATTCAATCAGCAAACACCTTCTGGTTACTTAAGTGCTGGAAATACACAGGGTTCTTAATTCAACCACATGTTATGCTAAAAATTTTTGTGAGCTGATCTGGAATCTTAACCCTCATTTTTTTCTATGGGAAAAGGGTCCTAAGATGCAAATCAGAGACTTAAAGATGAAATGCCTCCTAAGCTGGGTATTGTCTCTATCATTAATTGTTAGCCTGGTGGCCCAAGGTGAACAAGCCTTCCTGTAGTCTGCTGAATGGTAAGGAAAAGTAGGGGCACAGGAACAGTGGAAGAGGAGTAGGCTCTGATTCTGGGCACTGAGCTCTGGGCCTAGGCCTCCCTGCCTGGGCCTGATCACTGGGGCCTCTGCCAGTATATACAGGGCTTTTGTGTAAATTAGAAAAAGGTTCCCTTTCGGGGGAAGCAGCTCTGTGGGCACAGAGCCTAGTCAGCAGCCAGTATCTATGGGCAAATGAGGGAAAGGCACCACTTTCTCTGAGCAGGCACAGCTCTGCACCAGGGCACATGGCTTGGCAAGAAGAGCTGGATGTCGCTTGCCGTCTCATCCAGCTACCTTTGTGCAGAGCAGAACCTGTACCACCACGTGCAGTCATCTTGCTGCTCGTTACTAACTATGGCTTTAGTGACTGTGTTTTCCAACCTGGGAGTCAGGGCACGTGGTTTGTCAGTAAACTTAGCAAGGCTTTGTGTCACCCCGCAGAAGAGGATGATTTTTCCGGGACTCTAAAACATTGGAGGCATCCAAACAAGATTATTCAAAAAACATTGTTTTTAAATGGTCTATTTTAAAGCCATGCCTTTGGAGTGGTCGAAGAACAAAGGGTTTTTGAGGGCACTGCGTGTTTCCTTTTAATCTCTGGGCTGGGAATGACTGGTAGGAGATGTTTGGCCATTTGGTCCACTCTATGTAGGAAGACATTGTGAGGTGTGACAGTCACTGTATACCATGGCAGCGTTCCCGGTAGCACGTAAGTTGTGAGAGTTCCTTGCCATGTTTGTGTTTTTGTGATTTAAAGTGTTGAATAACAATTAATAATCTAATACATGCTAAAATATATTTTTAGCATTTTGCTTTTGGGGAATTACATAAACTTTCAAGATATTTTTAATCCCAATCGTTCAGACAGATATTGCTTCTGTTGTATTTAAAGTTGGGTTTTTAAATTGGTGACAGCCTAGAAAATCTGGGACAAGTGGTGGCCAAATCCTTAATCCTGGCTTCTGCCCCTCAGTGTGCTCCTTCTGTGCCCTTAGAGCCCCTCCCATCAGTCCTGGACCCTCCTCTGACCAGCTGCACACCCAAGCCAGTGACCTTTCAGGCAGGCTGGATGTGCCTGCCAGACCCTTCATCCCACAAGCATCCTCACCAGTACACAGGTGCTCATAGTCTCCACAGCAGTCCCTATGCTGGAGACACTGGCGGTCACACTGGCAGGCAGCATCCCGGTCAAATTTCTCATTACAACGAGATGCACATGACTCTGTTGTTCCTATGAGCAGTAAAGATCACAGATTCAGCTCTATGGAGACGCTATTCTTCTCGTAAAGGTAGCCTCTGCAGGAGCCTTCACTGATGGGGCAAAGGCCCCACCTGTCAGGAACATCCACGGCCACCTACGTACCACATAAGCCTCCTCCCCAGGACCCCCCATCAACCAAATATTTCAGGGCTCCTAATAGAGAACAGGGAGCCCCTGTGGTGCAGTGGTTAAGTGCTCAGCTGCTAACCAAAAGGCTGGCTGTGTGAACCCACCAGTCCATGGGAGAAAGATGTGGCAGTCTGCTTCCATGAAGATTTACATCCTTGGAAACCCTGTGGGGCAGTTCTACTCTGTCTTACAGGGCCGCTATGAGTTGGAATCGACTTGATGGCAACGAGTTAATACAGAACAGGAGTTTGATCTCAGCTGCTAACCGGAAGTTTGGTGGTTCAAGTCCACCAGAGGTGCCTCAGAAGAAAGACCTGGTGATCTAATTCTGGAAAATCAGCCACTGAAAACCTTATGGAGTGCAGTTCTACCCTGACACACACGGTCTCCATGAGTCAGAATTGACTCGACGGCAACTGGTTAACATAAAACAGGATCACAAACTCCAGTGCTTATTGGGAATCGGCAGGTAACAAACGAGTAGAGATGCAGGACAGTAGGAAGAGGTGGGACTCTGGCAAATTTGAGAGCAAATGCTCTGTCTACAATTGGTAGCCACTACTCGCTCCAATTGATTGTTGCTGTGCTGGGATGCAAGCTCAGTGTCTCCAAAGCCTCCAGTTTTCTGAGAGAAACCTTCATTTTTATGTGAAATTTCCCAATATTTAAAAACTCCAAGCAGGCCAAAGAGAGAGGTCTGTGGGCTGGACAGGGCATCTGTGGTGTAGACGAAAGTCAGTCCCACTGCTGTGCTGCCCTGCCTCTCCCTCCTGACCCACCCCTTCTTCTCATCCCACCCCATCCTTTTTATGTTTTCAGTGTTTTTGTTCTTCCCTCCCCTTCATCCTGTCTCCTCTGCACCTGCTTTTCCCGTGTCACATCCTTCTGTTCCTTCCAGTCTCTGGAATGCATTCGGATTAGTTTGTGCTCAGGATGGGGAAGGAGGCGGGTGTGGGTGAGAAATGGGCTTTGGAATAAGATTCTTTTATGTAACCACAGACCACATCCCTGACTCGAGCCAAATGGTTTGCAGAAGCAAGCTTTTGGTCACAAGGGGCATAAGACAAGAAATTTTTGAAAGGAAGAGTGTGAACCCACTACCACTCCTGAAAAAACAAGCTCCCGACCCTCCCTACTGAGGCCAGGTCAGCCCTCATGCCCACCACAGCAAAGACAGCGGAGGGGGTGGAGGGTGCATGCCAGGGTGACAGCTAGCCTGGGGGCCATTTCCTTCCACCCTGGGCTTTAAGCGTGATAAAAGAGTCTTTGTTTCCATTTGAGGTTCCTGAGGTTTGGATTTGGCTAATGCTGGGTTTAGGGGTCAGGCTGTGGGTTACAGATCATGTCAAGATCAGAGTCAGAGTTACTATTAGCATCCGAATTTGTATCAATGAGGAAACGGAAACCTAATTTGAACCAGGGTTGGGGTTAGTTAGGTTTAGTTTAAGAGTTATAGTTGAGATTTGTGTTTGAGTTACATTTTTTGGTATGTAAGAATTTAGTATCAATGTTTCAGTAAGGAGTAGGGTTAAAGTTTAAGGTGATGTTCAGGGTTAACAAATGTGTCAGGATTAGAAGAACAGAAATAATCCCAGTTTTGCTTCACATTAGATTTGGAATTTGGTTCTGGTTGCGATTTGACACAGGTATAGAATCTCAGTTTAAGCTTGGATTGGACTGGAAGTGAGTATTAGGGATTTGGGTTTAGATACTGGCTTGGATTCTGGGATTAAAGTTTATAATGAGGAATGGTTTAACAAAAAGGTTAAGAACCTGGACTCTGGCACCAAATTGCTTGGGGCTGGAATTCTGGTTCTGCTGCTTTCTAACTATGTAATCTGGTGCAAGTTCCTTGACCTTCTGTGCCTCAGTTTCCTTATCTGTAAAATGGAGTAATAATGGAACTCATAGAATATTTATGAAAATTTAATGAGTCACTGTTTGTAAAGCACTTAAGCCTGTGTGACACACAGTGGTGCCATACAAGTGTTTGTTTGATAGATAAACGGTGGCAGTAGTCTGTGCCTATCTGCAAGGTGACAAGTGTCCAGACCGGGTGGAGCAGTCGCCCTGCTGATATACTCAATCTAGCTGACTCTTTCCTGGCTGACATCATCACTATGGGCATGTGTTCTTTACATCAAAGGCATGTCAAGTCAAGATTAACCAGATCCTGAGGCAACTTCACATTCTGTACAGGCCTCCAAGCGGGCAGGCCTTTGATCCAGTGGAAAACTAAAAAAAAAAACAAAAAACGGATTGCCATCTGGTCAAGTCCGTCTCATGATAACCCCATGTGTTACAGAGTAGAACTGCTCTGTAAGGTTTTCTTGGCTGTAATCTTAATGGAAGCAGATCACCAGGCCTTTCTTCCATGACACCACTGAGTGGGTTTGAATGGCCAACCGCCAACCTTTCAGTTAGTAGATGAGTGCAAACTGCACCACTCAGACACCTTCTGATCCAGTGGATTGTCCCTTAAAAAAGACTAAGCCCAAGCCATGTGTCCCTTCAAACCCACAAGAAACCCTCTTGAATCTTAAAATGATACACCCTTGGAACCCAAATGCAAAGATCTTAAGGAGAATTTCCTAGCCCAGGAGGAAGGCTTCATCTGCAGCTGCTCAGTCAGGCTACACTCAGAATCCAAAGGGAGAGGATTCAGGCAAATCAGGTCAGTGTTTTTAATGGGCCAGATCAACGAGTCCAAGAAACAAATTCACTCCATTCCAGCAACTGGCACCAGTTGAGAAGGGCCGCAAGTGAATAGTCAGCTCTGTAGGATGGAGAATACCCCCCACTGGCCCAAGCTGAGTAGACTTTTTCATCTCTCTTCAAGAACTCTGTCCCAGTAGGAGCCTCATGCCCAGGGTTCTTCACATTCTCTGTGAACTTGGTCTGCTTCAAGACAACCTTGAGAGTTGACGGTAGAGGGCAGGGACGGGAGGGACTTTTCCTCATTGGCACCTCCCTGTGCTATTCTGGGGACACTCAGAGGATGAATCAGCCAGACTACTCACTCCAGCACCCCCACTCTGCCCCTCCTCATCACACAAACGCTCTATTCATACCTCGCTCACTAAGCCAGGAGCCTGAATCAGTCCACTGCTCCTTCTCCTCTGCCTCATCTCTCTGACTCTCTCCTTCTGCCTTTCTTCATTTTGGCCTTTTCTGTCTTGGTCTCATATTCTCCCTCCATTGCCTCGTGAAGAACTTAGGGCCTCCCATGAAGTGCTAAATTTCTCTGCACCCTTGAAGACATCAGTATTCCAGAATGTCCATTCCTTATCTATACTGCCCACCAGGAGAGCTTGGTCCCAAGCCTGGGTGGTTATAGCATCTCTAGACACCGACCCATCAGCCCCTCTGATGGTTTGGGCATCCTACATCTGTGCCATCCAGGGACCCCAGATGCTGTTTCCCTGGAGACCTAGTCAACCAAAAAGATTCATCTCCAGGACCAGCTACCTGCCTCAGTCCACTTAAAACAATAAGGCCTTTAGCACTCAACTTGTAAGTGAGGACCAGAGGCTGGCAGTGACTCCCCAATACGATTCATGTGTTTGCATCAAAGTTTTGAAATGTTGGAATAGTATAGACAAGGGAAGAGCCTCCTCTGTCCCATCTTAGGAAAGAAGGCAGCATCACCCACTTGACCTTCACTTCCTCAACAGCCCTGCAGCTCAATCAGATGGCTGGTCTGGCCCCCCAGCAGCAAGGATTCCAGCTGTACTTGTGATGCCACTGCTGCCTCTGCCCTCAGCTACTGTCCCTCCTGGGGTCAGGTGTCCTGAGTTGCACTCCTCTCCTGAGGCTGGGATGTGCTGACCCACTGTCTCTCCTCCACACGAGGCCCTGACATGCTCTCCCTTTCCTCCACACCAACAAGCCTGAGGCCAGAGTGTCCCACACCCTCCCTCACTCTGCCATTGCCTTCCCACCACCCAGGGTCCAGGCAGAGCTGGCTACTGGTGCTGGGTGCCAGGGTGGAGGTACACCATCCCATCCAGTGCTGGGAGGCCTGGGAATAGCTTTCCCTTCCAAGGGTTTTCCCTTTATGAATCCCATTAACCAAAAAGAGAAAGAAAGAAAACCAAACCCATTGCTGTTGAGTTGATTCCGACTCATGGCAACCCCATGTGCTACAGAGTAGAACTGAACTCATAGGGTTTTCTTGGCTGTAATCTTTATGGAAGCAGATTGCCAGTCCTTTCTTTCATGGTGCCCTGGATAGGTTTGAACTACCAACCTTTTAGTTAGTAGCTGAGATCAAACTGTTTACATCAGGGGTCTCCTTATCGACAGTCTAATTGGAAATGACCCCAAATTTCTCCCAGAAATATTTATAATCACAGTTCTAATCAAAGTTCTAATTCACTATGGTCTCACTCCATGCCAGGTGTTTCTCATGCCAACAGTCCTATGAAGAAACAACCTGGGTGGGTGGAATGAGCATTAGGCTCTGATTCTTTCTCCTCTGAGGTAGAAGAAGATTCTTCTCACACCCCTCAGTTCAGCCCTCCCGCTTGGTACTCATTCCTACCCACCGGCTAACCTCCAGTTAACACATCAGCATCAACATTTTGCACCATAACTAAACCGGAAAGTGAATCTTATTCTGCTGGTCCCATCCCTGCACTACTAGTAACTGTGGGCCAGGTCCCTTCTATGTTCTTTAGTTCACCTAACACTGGGACTAAGACCAATTATTCTGACCACTTGTACAGCCCCAGATAGGACGTTGCCCACCTCCCGGCCAGGAAACCTTCTGATTTCCTCCTGAGCCTGCCCATCACCTAAGGCATTACCGAGAGAAAGATCACCGCTTCGGACAAACTCATGCAACACTAGGCAGTGCAGGGAGTGACCAAGGACAACCGGGCCACTCGAACCCAACAGACCACAGTCCCAGCTTCATACCATGCATGGTCCAGGAAAACAAAACCTTGGTTAGATCAAAAGTCAAGTTGGACTAAGGGATGTTTGAGGTGGTCCTACAAGGTGTCAAGAAAGGCTTCCATGAAACTGGTCCATCAGCCCTGGAACTCCCTTCACATAGTACAGGCCACTCCAGAGACAACTACTGCATCCTCAGACAAGGACAGACCTAAGGTACTCCACAGCTTTAGGACTGAACTGATCCCTCACCTTGCCCCATTGCCCTCACCCTCCACCAAGTTTCCCTGCCATCCCTTCTCCCATCCCCACCAGACTGTGACTTACCAGCCCAGGCCAAGCCACAGAGCATGGCCACTATCAGGGGGACACAGGCCCTCATGGTGCTCAGTTGGAGGCCAAAGAGGGTTTGGCGTTGGACTTTCACTGGAGTCAGGGTGGAGTCCTGCTCTCAAATGAGCCTTATTTCCCAGGCTGATCCTTTTAAAGATATCACAGCTTGTGGATCTGGTACCTCCAGATCCTTTCAGGAAGGAAAAAGGGGAGGGAGGGCCCTCAGATGGATAGGGGCTGGGAGGAGGTGGGGCCCTACAGCTGTTTGAAGCCAGAGGGGAGGTGACTAAGAAGGCAGGTAACGCCAGATGTTTAGAACAGGTAATTATAGATGTTTGTAGCTGGAAAATAGGTCATCAAAGCAGCACAGTAACATGGGCCTAGGCTGTAGGGTTTTCTATCCAAATTAGGGGCGCGCATGGGCTTATCTTTAGGTGATTCCCCTCCTAACACTCACCTGCCTGCAAGCCGCAGGTCTGACCTTCCAAGAAGCTACAGGTTGGCTTCATCTTTGAATACTTCATGCTTAGTATAGATACCCAGTACACAGTAATATGATCATTACAAGTTTGACAAACAGTGCCTAAGCAAAGGCTGGCGGTCATTGGCAGGAGAAATATAGAAGGTATGGGTCAGAAACAAGGGATGCTCTTGTTACCATCAAACCACCATATGTAAATCACCCTAGACATATTATGCAAATAAGCCTCTGCCTCTAACTCATACTGAGTCAGCATCTCAGGTTTATGAGGTAGAGGAAGGACACAAGCAGTCAAAGGACCCAGCCTTCCTCCCCAGGAAATGAGGGCCCTACTCCCTTCATTCTCTACCTACACGCCTCCCTCCCAAGCAAGAGATGAGGCTTCTCAGGGCTCCATGTCCAAGAACAGAGGTGCAACTCCTTGTGACTGACAACAATGGAGGCGAAATCTGATAAGTAAAATGCCCTTTCCAGAAAGAGCCGTTCATGGGGATTTCTCAGCCCTCTTAAAAAAGGAAAATAGCATATAAAAAGGCAACATGGATATATGAAAATGTAAAATTCTGCATCAGTGATTTTTTTTCCTGGGATGGAGTAGGAAGGGAGTGTGTCTTCCTCATCCACTGTACTTTAACAGTAGAAGTTTCTTCCTCTCTGTCGTCTTCAGTTTTCTCATCTGTGAAATGATGGGGTTGGACTTGACAATCCCTTCCAAGGCCTCTGACTTTGAGTTTGCAGTTTCCTGCTCAAGCCTAGGTTGAGCTGTTGCCGGTGGATTCAGGAGAATTCCCAACCCCTTGCTAGGTGGTGGTGGTGGTTGTTGGGTGCCATTGAGCTTATTTCGGCTCATAGAGACTCCATGGGACAGAGTAGAACTGCCCCATAAGGTTTTCTAGGCTGCAGTGGAGATGAGACCAAATGTGGGGTTTCAGGGGTGAAGAGAAGGACAAGCCCGGGGCCAGCCATGCTTACAAGGGACTCAGAGGAGAAGCACAACTGGGGAGTGATCTGGCCCTTCTCTCCTGGAAGGAGTCACAGCAGAAATGGCTGTTTATTTGCATAAATTTCATTTGCACAACCTAAAAGCAGGCAGCTGAGCCACTGCCAGTCAGTCCTCATCTCTCTGGATTGGCGCCCTGTCCACATATCTCTGACTGCAGCTAGTTTAGGGGACAAAGGAGAGTGTCACTAGCCCAGCAGAAAGCAAGGGAGGCCTCAGAACTTAGGACTGGATGGCCTATCCCTTCCTAGTGCCCAGCTGGGCAGACCCAGACTAAGGCGGAATCCATCAGAGTGGGAGTCGAGTCTGCCCAGGGTCCCCTGATGTCCAGCTGAACTGATTCTGAGATGGATCTGCAGGGTGTGAGCTCTTCTTCTGTCAGGGGAATTTTAGACCAGGACCAAGGCTGGGAGCTGGGGAGACAGCTGAGACTGACCTCACAGAGCCAGAGGGATCATCTGAGGACCCGCGTGTTTCAAACCAGCTTCCTCTAATAAGAACAACGATGACTTAATGACCACCGTCAACACTGAGCAACATCACACACCAAGAGCTTCGTATGTGTTATTTCACTGATTCTTGCTACAACCGTTGATAGATACTGTTGTTATCCACATTTTGCAGATAAGGAAACTGAGGCACAGAAAGATTAGGAGATGTGCCCAGGAGCGTACCATTATTAACCTGTACAGCAGGACTTCAAACCCAGGCCCAGCTGACCACAGTACATCCTCATAAGCACTAATGTCACATGGCGCCACAAACATCACAGCTTTAAAAACGCATTAACAACCACTTCATTATGGCTGCCACTATGCAAATAGGTCTAGAATCATAGATTCATTGGAACTAAAGGGGCATTAGTGGTCAACTAGTTCCACTTCTCAAATAATATTCCAACCCCCAAACAATTCTACTAAGGGGTTGACCTGCCTCCACTTTGATGCCCCTGGTGACAGGAGCTCACATTCTCTGAGTGCTACAAAGGTTTCAAAGGGCAGCTCGAGAAGACAAAGTAAAGTATTATAATGAAATATGAAAAGACCTGGAGTTAGAAAACCAAAATGGAAGAACACGCTCAGCATTTTTCAGGCTGAAAAGAACTGAATAAAAAATTCAAGCCTTGAGTTGCAATACTGAAGGATTCTAAAGGAGTCCTGGTGGCACAGTGGTTAAGAGCTTGGCTGCTAACCAAAAGGTCAGCAGTTTCAATCCACCAGTGACTCCTTGGAAACCCTATGGGGCCGTTCTATTCTATCCTAGAGGGTCACTATGAGTCGGAATCATCTCGACGGCAACGGGTTTGCATTTTTGGTTTTTTATGAACAAAATATTGAACAATGCAGGAAGCATCAAAAGAAGATGGAAGGAATACAGAGTCACTGTATCAAAAAGATTTGGTTGATGTTCAACCATTTCAGGACGTAGCATATGATCAAGAACAGATGGTACTGAAGGAAGAAGTCCAAGCTATACTGAAGGCATTGGCAAAAAAACAAGTCTCCAGGAATTGACAGGATACCAAATGAGATGTTTCAACAAACGGATGCAACACTGGAAGCACTCATTCATCTACACCAAGAAATTTGGAAGACAGCTACTGGCCAACTGACTGGAAGAGATCCACATTTGTGCCCATTCCAAAGAAAAGTGTGCCAACAGAATGCAGAAATTATCAAACAATATCATTAATAATCACACCCAAGTAAAATTTTGCTGAAGATCATTCAAAAGCAACTGCAGCTGTACATCTACAGGAACTGCCAGAAATTCAAGCTGGATTCAGAAGAGGACGTGGAACAAGGGATATCATTGCTAATGTCAAATGGATCCTTGCTGAAAACAGAGAATACCAGAAAGATGTTTACCTGTGTCTTACTCATCTAGTGCTGCTACAATAGAAATACCACAAGTGGATGGCTTTAACAAAGAGAAATTTATTCTCTCACAGTCTAGTAGGCTAGAAGTCCAAATTCAGGGTGTCAGCTCCAAGGGAAGGCTTTCTTTCTCTGTCAGCTCTGGAGGAAGGTCCTTCTCATAAATCTTCCCCTGGACTAGGAGCTTCTCTGTGCAGGAACCCCGGGTCCAAAGGACACGTTCTGCTCCCACTGCTTCTTTCTTGGTGGTACGAGGTACCCCCTCTCTGCTCGCTTCCCTTTCCTTTTATCTCTTGTAAGATAAAAGGTGGTGCAGGTCACACCCCAGGGAAACTCTTTACATTGGATCAGGGATGTGACCTTAGTAAGGGTGTTACAATCCCAACCTAATCCTCTTTAACATAAAATTACAATCACAAAATGGAGGACGACCACACAATACTGGGAATCATGGCCTAACTAGGTTGACACATATTTTGGGGGGACACAATTCAATCCATGACAACCTGTGTTTTATTGACTGTGCAAAGTCATTTGAATGTGTGGATAATAACAAATTATTGGATAACATTTTGAAGAATGGGAATCCCAGAACACTTAATTGTGCTCATGAGGAGCATGAACATAGACCAAGAGGCAGTCGTTCAAACAGTACGAGGGGATATTGCGTGGTTTAAAATCAGGAAAGGTGTACATCAGGCTTGTATCCTTTCACCATATTTATTCAATCTGTATGTTAAATAACCCGAGAAACTGGTCTATGTGAAGAAGAATAAGGCATTAGAGGAAGACTCATTAACAAACCTGCATTATGCACATGACAAAACCTTGCTTGCTGAAAGTGAAGAGGACTTGAAGCACTTACTGGTGAAGATCAAAGACTATAGCCTGCAGTATGGATTATACCTCAACATAAAGAAAACAAAAATCCTCACAACTGAACCAATAAGCAATATCATGATAAATGGAGAAAATACTGAAGTTGTCAAGGATTTCATTTTACTTGGATGCACAATCAACGCCCATGGAGGCAGCAGTCAAGAAATCAAATGATGCATTGCATTGGGCAAATCTGCTGCAAAAGACCTCTTTAAAGTGTTAAAAACAAAGATGTCACTTTGAGGACTAAGGTGCACCTGACCCACGTCATGGTATTTTCAGTCACCTCATATGCATGTGAAAGCTGGGCAATGAATACGGAAGACTGAAGAAGAACTGATGCCTTTGAATTATGGTGTTGACCAAGAACATTGAATATATCATGGACTGCAAGAAGAACAAGCACATCTGTTCTGAGCCAGAATGCTCCTTAGAAACGAGGATGGTGAGACTTCATCTTAAGTACTTTGGACACATCATTAGGAGGGACCAGTCCCTGGAGAAGGACATCATGCTTGATAAAGTAGCAAGTCATCGAAAAAGAGGAAGACCCTTGACGAGATAGACTGACACAGTGGCTGCAACAATGGGCTCAAGCATAACAACAATTGTGAGGATGGCACAGGACCAGGCAGTGTTTCGTTCTGTCGTATATAGGGTTGCTATGAGTCAGAATTGATTCGATGGCACCTAACAACAACAACAAACCCCCAAGTCACCCCCTTGGCACCACCACTGCAAGTGGTGGCCACCACAGGGGTCAGACAGAAGTCAAGATTCCAGCAGCTTCTGAACACATAATGTAACAGGCA